TTCTAAATGCTATTCAAGTTTACCTGGGGAGGCGGCAGTTTCTCCTCCGAAGGGGCAGAAGTTGGAGGTCGTTCTTGGGGTTTTGGTTGAGTAGACACTGGCTGGGTCCCAGGTGGAGGGGGTCCTTGATGTATGGTAGGATGAGAGACAGGAATTTGTGTCCCTGGGGGTACTGTCTGAGTTCCGGGAGGAAGAATACCTAAAATAAATGGTAAGAATGGGAATCTGCTTCATCTACAACCTATTCAGAAGCGCTTTTCCACCCACCTTCTTAAAAACTCAACAATTTGTCAATATACAAGTAACTTAACATCATATTGAAAACACTGTTCAAAACAATAATCCTCTTTTTAAAAAAGTTTAATTTGAGTGTAATAAAAATGCCACCTTGCTGACCCCCAGCTGGCATCATTGGCATTGGAGCCACAGGCGGCCTCTGTGGTGGTGCTATGGTGCCAGGTGGTACCATTGGTGCTGTCATGGAAACCTGTGGTGGCATTCCACTTTGTGGTGGCATGCCACCTTGTGGTGGCATGCTACCTTGTGGTGGCATACCACCTTGTGGTGGCATTCCTGGGGCTGGCTGCATGGGAACTTGTGGTGGCATGCTGGCTGGGGGCTGCGGCATTGCACCTTGTCCCTGGATGTTCATAGGAACAGTTCCCTGCTGGGGAGCCACTGGCTGTGCAGGTGCCATCATTCCTGGGGGAGGAGGGACCACTGCTGGCTGCATTGGTGGCTGTGGAGGAGCTACATGCATGGGAGGAACTGAAATAATAATTCAATGTACTTGTATGTCAATACATTGAATTGTTTGAAAAATCAACTCAGTTTTTATTTTATCCTTGCCAAATGGGGAAAATAATGCTGCGCTGAAGTTAGTTAACAAAATGAATACTTTCTGTAATAATTCATAACCTTAGATTTAAAGAATCTTTTGTATTATACATGAACATTTTCTAATTCATCATTTTACCTAGGACTCATTATTCATATGAAAAAAAAAAACCCAGCAAAGGCAGACTATATTCTTTAAACTACCCAAGATGTGCAAATACACTGAGGTTATCAAAACTTTATCATTATACAAACAGTGGTTTTAGGTTCATGTTCCAGGGTAGTCATTAGAAGGGAGAGACTTTTTTTCAAAATTAGAGTGCAAGTGTGAAATCATTTGTTGATCTCTGGTCATCCAACTAGTGATAATAAAAATACAAGTATCTCCCTAATTTTCAACACAATCTAAGAATGAGTTTTCTATCACACCTGGTGGTTGCTGCTGTTGTTGTTCCTGAATGCGTTTTTCTTGAGCCTCTCTCTGGGCTTCCATCAGGGCAATCTGTTGCTGACGCAGAAGTTCTGCCTCCTTCAGACGACGATCTTGTTCTGCTTGATTAATCGCCTGTTCCTGCATCTGCCTCATCTACACAGAAGATAAACAAAAATTACATCATTAAAGCATGTTAATACAGTAAAAAAATTTTAGCTAGGTTAATGTAATCAGGGAAATTTCCGCTCCTTTTGACCTCATTGCAAGTGGGCAAATTTAAAATGGGGTGAATTCAAAGAGTGTCTGGCTAATTTAAAACAGAGCAAAATTGTTTGCAAGTCTGATTAGATGAAAATATCATGGGGCAAAAATAACCCTGATTACAGTAAAAACTTCTTGCAATGTTAACAAATCAGTAATACTTACAGTCTGTTGTTTCTCTATCTCGATCATGACCTGTTGTTGTCTGACCTTCTCCATCAGATCACCACTGGGAGGGGGTGGGCCAGAAGAAGGGCCCCCTCGCTGGCTCATGAGGATAGCCTGCTGGGCTAGGGCTGCTGCCTCCTTCTGTTTCTGCTCCTCTTCATTAATTAATTGTGTCTGTATGGCAACCTTCCTCTGGAACTCTGAGTCTGAATCCAGATTCTACAAACAAGGAAAAGCACTATACTTTTTAGGGTAAGTTCTTGCATTGTCAATGCAATATTAATGTATAAAATCACATAATATCTGGAAAAATCTATACCATTTGATATAAATAATTTCTAGGATGATGAATTTAAAGTTCATTGACCCTATGATAAAAGAGATAACTCTGCCTGGGATTTTTTGACATTTCCTTAGAAAATTGACTGATAGGTTAAAAGATGAATTCTTTCAAATTTTGCACAGGAAGATATTCTGAAATACATTGTATGCTGAAATTGTGTGTATGTCAACTGTAATTTAGATTATTTTGTACATCATTATCACTGAATCAAAGTTTTGTATGAATAAAGAGGGGGAGGATGAACTTTCAGGAAGACAAAAGGACTCACATCTCTTTTTTCTGTGGGATGAGGAGGAGCTGGAGGGGGTGGTCCTTGAAATGGCTGTCGAGGGGGAGGTCCTCCTACCGGGGGTCCAGGTATCATCTGAGGTGGACCTGTAGGTGGGGGAGGGACAGGTGGACCAGCTGGCTGGGGAGGGGTGGGTTGCCCTGGAGGAGGCTCTTTAACATCCTGTAAAAATAATTGTAGTATTATACATGTACAGTAAAACATACTTATAACAAAGTGCCAGGGATGGATGATTTTGCTTCATTTTAAGTGTAATTCGTTATATCCATTAGGTTTACAATATACATGTATTTTAAAGCCAAAGGGAATGAAAATGAACTTCAAATAAGCAATAAGGAAAAAATGTATCTATAAAACTTACCTCATATTTCCCATCTGAAATGCAGTAAATAAAAATATTACTAACAAAATATTTCAAATTTAAAGTAAACATCCTTCAATATTAAGCAACCAGCATACTGTTAAACACTTTTTATTCGCAAGAACTTTATTTTTGCATAATTACGTGAGACTGTCTAATCATGAAATACAAGTTCTTGCATATATTTCTAGAACTTAAGAACATTTAGAACAATATCCAAAGTTCGTGAAAATTATGTCTCGCTTATAAATACCAAATGACCATCTCAGGAAAATAAGGTCTCGCGAAAATTTGGCAATCTACAGTACTCTTAACTTAAATAGAAATTACACATTTTGGTGGAGGATTATCTTACCACAATGGAAAAAAATGTATAATTGCTAGGAAGACAATGCTTTATTTGCAAGCTATGGCTTCGTCTAAGTATTAACTGATATTCAGGTATAGTAGACATTTTGGACTCGTAACAATGCTGTAGAAAGATAGTTAATTGATTCCTAAGGAAATACAATTTTTACACGTAAATTGAACTTTTTCCTATGATATATTTTTGAATATTGAGAACCTTGCATCTCCAACCACATCTTCATTCAAAGTTGAACTTGAGCATATATATCCTTACATTTACCTAAGATTGTCCCCAACTTTTAAAAAAAATTTCTTAAGACGTAATTTCAAATAGAACCAACTTATTCCACTCATTATCGACTCATTACGAAGTTGAACTATCCTATATGCATGAATACCAAATATCAATTTCCTACCACAATGCATAAGAATACAGTTATAAAAATTGTACGGTTTACAAATGGAGAGACAGTCAGCCAGCTACTACGGTACATTATCTTATGATGTTCTTCAAAACATAAGCCTAGAAAAATCCTACAAGTTCTTATATGGCATATGTCTATGAACAACTGTACCTATGCAATGAAAGAGTTTTATAAATGAAGTGTGTGAAACAAAGACTACTGTAAATGTACTTTTTTTCCAAGGGGTCATAATTCCAAGTAATCAACATTTCTGAAGAATCCGCAGGTAGAAAATTCCTGCTGATTTCTTGGATTGCCATTGTATGTCTTACATGTACTTTAAGCACGTGTTAAGTATGCTGTGACAAATTTCCATGCGAAAACTGTGACTGTGAATATACTCAAATTAATCCCTGTTCCCACAAGGAGAAAAGTATGTCTAAAGTATACAATTTAATCTACACTCCAATTTATTCTTTCACCTGTTTTGAATTCTCCCTCTTTCTTAATATTCTGGGAAATCTGCAAGAAGAGAAAGAAATATATTCTAAAAACATTCCTTATTTGTTAAACAACTACAAAAAGTTAAAATTTCACGAAAGTTTACAAATTTTGTCAATTGATTCACTTTTTTTTTTTTAAATTTCTTTCTTTTTTTTTGAAGTAATTCTTGTCCAATAGAACAAAATATCTGAATTGCAGATTTAAAACCCAGTTCTATTTTTTTCCCTGTCAGATTTTGTATCATATTTACAATGTCTGAATGACAATATTTGCTTTTGAACACAACCATTACCTCAAGTTTATACTGGTAAAGTCTTTCAATCAAATCAGCCTTCAATCCTAAATGAGGAGGGAAAAAAATGTTGTATGAATCAACGAGAGAATATTTGATAAATCAAAAATACCGTATACAGGGTTATTTTCGCCCCATGCTATTTTCTCCCTTTCATACCGGCAAACAATTTTTGCCCGTTTTAAGTTCGCCCAGTCACAATTCTGTTTAAGAAATTATACGGTGTTTTTCGAATTCGCCCCGTTTTAAATTCACCCACCTTTGAGTAGGGAGAAGGGGCGAAAATAAAACTGGGGCTAAAATTTTCCTGTATACAGAAGTTCAGCATACTGATTATGACATATTAATACATTAAACGTTCCTCCAACGACTAACCGGTGTGTGGAGAATAACACCTACATATATAAATGCCTCAAGTCGTGATGCTTCAATATTAAATCTTGGTTTATCATACAATAATTTATGCAAATAGCAACAAACCATTAACTGGAAGTCCAACTCCTGATAGTAGTTCCTTCAATTCTACAACTTTAAACTTTTTATATTCTTCGATGTTATCGGGAAGCGACTCCATGTTGTTTAGTTAAGATTTCTTACATCTCGAACCCGAGTTTGAGCTAAATAGATTACATGTATTTATAATTAATTATGTTTTATTTTCTACTTATTTTTTGACAAGCAATGTTATATGCTACCGATTCAATTATAAAACCACGTCCAAAACTGGGGTACGAATGTCATATCATAAAGTCGGGTTCGACATTTTTAAAGTATGGCGTCGAAAGGCAAGGTTGCTGGAAAATTGGGCAAAAACGTGAAGAAGGCTGGCGCTAAGAAGCAGGAATATGCTCCGTTTCTTAAGGTTATCATACCAGCAGCATCGGCTGTTGCGGCTCCACCACTGGGTCCCCAGTTAGCACAGGTATAGGTGAAAAAAGCGTTGTAGATCGTCTGTAACCTTGTCACATGTCATAAATAATAAATACGTTATAATAACTTAAGATACATATCTTATGATTTCGCCCCCCCCCCTTCACACTGGATAAAGACCGCTCTACAGTTGCGTTCACACACTGACAGATAATTTAATGCGAATTAATCTAATTCCAATTATTAATGCAAAATAATCTAATTCCAAATAATTTAAGTGAAAAGGTTATCACTAAAAATGAGTACGTAGACACTATGATAATATGCCAAATGTTTATATCTGCTCTGCATTAGGTAACGTGATTCGCAAATGATGTCATAATAGCCTAACGGTAGAAATAAATTATTAATGCGCATTAGTTTACTTAATTCACATTAACTTTCATGTGAATCAGGCCCGTAGGAAGCAATTTCACTTTGAGGGGGCACAACCATACATTTTCAGTTGGGGGGGGGGGGGGCACTATCAAGTACCAAAATTTCTTGACAAGCAAAAATTAAAAATGTGAATGCAATTTAATTTGCATTAGTTTAATTCACATTAATTTACTTTGCATTTATTTACTGCAAATTTAATATTTAATGCACATTCATGTGAACAGGACACATGGTACTGCACTCTTTATTGGTTGTGCATTTCGATCTGAAGTTAAGTAAATATTGATTTTGTTATAGATTGGTGTATGATTTTCACAGTTTTAACACAATATATATTGATTATCAAAAGCACAGTAGCCAAATTAAATGGGTCAGTGATTAGAAGTTGACAAAATATCAGAGAAATGGTGAATCATGAGTCACCTGTTGGTATTTCAGATTTCTCCTTTGTTATTGTAATAATCATAAATAAATAAATTTACAATTAATGGTTTGTTGACATGAATGAAAAGGTGTTTACTTCATTGATATCCAGAATTATTTTTGAAAAATTATGTGATTTAAACAGCATGAGATTTGGAACAAGAGGCCCAGGGGCCACATTGCTCACCTAAGCACTATGGCTAGGAAAAAGCAGAAATCAGTTCAGTCTTGAAAGGTTAAAAAGTTTACATATAAAAGTATAAAAGTGGTTGGGGGGAGGGGGGGTTTGATTTTAACTAACTTGAATCTATACTTCATAGGGATGCTTTTGAATCAATATGACAAATAATGGCTTTGCTGTTCTTAAAAAGAAAATTTTTATTGATATATCCTTTGTATAACTATGATCCCCTGTTATGGCCCCTCTATTCTCCTGGGGGGGGGGGGGGGGGGGGGGGTCATAAATTGAACAAATTCGAATCTACATTACCTGAGGATGCTTCCATTCAAATATGACCAATTATGGCTTTGCTGTTCTTGAGAAGAAGATTTTTAAAGATTTTTCCTGTGTATCCCTTGTAAAACTTTGATCACCCATTGTGGCCCCACCCTACCCGGGGGTCTTGATTTGAGCAAACTTGAATCTACACTATCTAAGAATGCTTCCATATAAATATGACCAATCATGGCTTTGTTGTTCTTGAGAAGAAGATTTTTAAAAACTTTTCCTATATATTCCTATATAAAACTTTGATCGCCCATTGTGGCCCCAACCGACCCCCGGGGGTCATGATTTGAACAAACTTAATTAAATTTACACTGCCTGAGGATGCCTCCACATAAGTTTCATATTTTCAAGCACAGTGGTTCTTGAGAAGATTTTTTAATGATGCCATTAATTTTTCACAAATTCATAATTATCTCCCCTTGAAAGAAGGCGTGGCCCTTCATTTGAACAAACTTGAATCCCCTTTACCCAAAGATACTTTGTGGCAAGTTTGGTTGAAATTGGCCCAGTAGTTCTGGAGAAGAAGGTCAAACATGTGAAAAGTTTACAGACAGACAGACAGACAGCTAGATGGAGGGACGGACTACAGACAAAATGTGATCAGAAAAGCTTACTTGAGCCTTCGGCTCAGGTGAGCTAAAAAGTAAACAACAGGGCTTGCAAGAAATTCTGAGATTTCAAACAGTTGCAAATCTCTGTTATATATGTCTCTGACTCTTCCACCACCTCTATGAATATTTTAGTTCAGCTGTTCTTCACTTTCCTTCAAAATGCCAAACAGTTTGACTTTGTAGAAATATACAAAATTTGATAGAATTAAACGTTTATGTAAAGTAAATTTTGTGCTGATTGTCACCTTATTACTGATTACTTTAAGTTTAATTAATGTATACACTATTGATAAATGGGATGTAGCTAGAGCATAGGAGAATATCTTTAGGATGCAGAGAACATGGAGGAACCCCCCCCCCCCCTTTTTACAAAATTAAGGATCTTAGCAGCATTGGTTTTGCCTTCAAACAGATGTAGTTTTTCTATTTTTCCACAATCCTACCACAATCAAATTGATTGTGAAGGTTGTGAAGAGCATAGAATAACAGTGTTACAGAGATTTTCTAGACTCATCTTTGGTAGACCAAGGATTTACAATCAGCTTCCTTATTTCCAAGGAGAGGGGAGCAGATCTTAACCTCTTGTCTAGCAAAGATGTTCCAGACTTTGAAGGATGCAACTACATGTATATCCAAGCATCCCTATGTATATATGCTCAAGTTCCTTTCCCAAGGTAACAGTTGGGTTTGCCCTAATAAAAACTTCATCCTGAGTATTTTCTCCAGAGTGGTTTAGCCCATTTTTGACATATGTAATATAGTAAAACATAGATCGATTTGAAGATTCAGTAGAATTTAGAATGGTTCAGCCCCAATCATCTGGGCATGTGTCAATTGGGGCAGTTTGATTTAACAAATGACAGACTGGCTGCTAGTTTAACAATTCTTGCATATTTGCAAAAGGGGAAATTGATTCATGGTTATTGATAAGAAAATTTTAAAGCAATTAAAGAAAAAACTATTTAAATATACTTAAGGGAAGTGTCTCAAGAGATTGCTATGTAATACTTAAACAATACATATTCTGCAGTGCTCTTGTTTTCTGAATACTCTTTCAAAGTTTATTATCCAGCTATATAGTACACCTTTTGGCCCTGTGATAAACCTTATAGTATATTGTATATGTTATTTCAGTACAGATCTTATTTTCAATAACTCTTCTGTTTTTCTTGTAGAGAGGTGTTCAGATTGCATCATTTTGTAAAGATTTTAATGCACTGACTGCAGAATACAAACCAAAGGTGCCCATGATAGCTGAAGTAAAAATCAATGTAAGATTTTACTAGTATTATCATTTCTGAAAAGTGCACAATATATATGAGCTATAATATATTCTATTGGACATTGTAAATGAAAATATCATTACAGCCCTTTTCCTCTGAGTTTACAGTCTTTCTGATGAAAAAAAGGGTGTTTTGAAACTCTGTAAGACACTGATGTTTTCTAAAGTATGTGACTAATGTTATCCTTTGAATGCAGGTAGACAGAACTTATAGCATAAGTCTTGTAAGCCCACCTACTTCTTATTTCCTGAAACAGGCAGCAGGAATGAAAAAGGGAGCTATGAAAACAGGTAACGACAGTTTCTGTCTTTTTTCTCATCACCATTGCATGATAATTATAGTGTATGTGTACCACATTCCCTCTCCTTTCCTCCAAATAAATCACCCGGTGCTTCCAAAATGTTGTGGAAAGGATGGATATTCAATGTTAATTTTATTTAATAGCAAGGTATTTGCACTAAAATGAACTAAAACACTAAAATTACAACTACAAGCACTAAAATAGGTAAACATGAACTTTTCATAAAATACAGTATGTTTCGAGGAAGAGCAAGATGATTTTAGGAAAGAATCTTGGTATTATTAATATAATCAAATTAGTTAGTTGAAACTATATATTTGACACGAGAATTTTCAAGCAATGAAAATTAACTAGGCAATGTATTTGCCAGAACATGTGACCTTTGGGCATAGAAGGCACAGGAATGATTGCAAGAATATGAAGATCATAGAAATATATTTTTTTAGGCATTGAATGATTACTTTTTAGCTCACCTGAGCCAAACGCTCAAATGAACTTTTCTGATTGAAATTTGTCCATTGTCTGTCGTTGTCGTAAACTTTTCACATTTTCATCTTCTTCTCAAGAACCACTGAGCCAATTTCAACCAAACTTGCCACAAACTATTCTTGGGTAAAGAGGATTCAAGTTTGTTCAAATGAAGAGCCACGCCTTCTTCCAAGGGGAGATAATTATGAATTCGTGAAAAATTCAGCATCATTTAAAAATCTTCTTCTCAAGAACCACTGTGCTTGGAAATTTGAAACTTATATGGAATCATCCTTGTGTAATGTAGATTCAAGTTTGTTCAAGTCGTGACCCCCGGGGTAGGGTGGGGCCACAATGGGCGATCAAAGTTTTACTTAGGAATACATAGGAAAAATCTTTAAAAGTTTTCTTCTCAAGCAAAGCCATAATTAGTCAAATTTAAATTGAAGCATCCTCAGGTAATGTCGATTCAAATTTTGTTCTAATCATGACCCCCCAGGAGAATAGAGGGGCCATAACAGGGGATCATAGTTATACAAAGAAATAGAAATGATATGTCAAAAAAATTGTCTTCTTAAGAAAAGCAAAGCTATTATTTGTCATATTACCATATATACTCGCCTATAAGTTGGTCCGCCTATAAGTCGGTTGTATTTTTTAAGCTTACATAAAAGGGATTGACCCGCTATTATACCAATATTCTCATAACTCGCCTATAGGTCGGAAGGGGTTTTTGGACCAAAGTTTAACTCCCAAAAAACCGACTTATAGGCGAGTATATTCGGTAATTCAAAAGCATCCCTATGAAGTATAGATTCAAGTTAGTTCAAATCAACCCCCCCCCCCCCTCCCCCCTCGAACCACTTTTATATCAAAACTTTTCAAGACTGAACTGTTTCTGCTTTTTCCTAGCGAGAGTGCTCAGGTGAGTGATGTGGCCCCTGGGCCTCTTGTTTTTGGAATCTATGGTGCTGTTATTCACATGATGTGTGCTTATGCATATTGAATTAAGCATTGAATTTTTGTTTGTCATTGATTTTTATATCTCAAACTGAAGTGAACTTAAAACTATTTTCTTTAACTCAGTCACCACTTTGTACAACATGAAGGCCATCCCAGGGTTAATCATTTATCTTGAACTGCATAATACATTGAATGTGAGTATCATTTATAGAGATATTGACAAGTTCATTTCTTTATCAGGTCAAGAAGTTGCTGGAAAACTGTCACTGAAACATATATATGAAATTGCAAAAATTAAAGAAACTACAGACAATAGATTCCGTGGGACTTCCTTAGAAGCTATATGTAAAACATTAATTGGACAGTGTCATGATATTGGAATAGAAGTTGTGAGAGACTTGAAACCAGAAAACTATGGGAAATTCCTTGAAGAACGTCAACAAATTGTTCAAGAACAAGAGGAAGCCCTTGAAGCAAAGAGACAAGCAAAACTATTAAGGACATGATAAGAAACGTAAATTTGAAGTTTTGCGATTTTTGAAATGAATGTAATAAAATATTATTGAAGCACTTTCACAGAATTTTTTTTTACAGTGATGTTTAGTGTTTGTTGAATATAGACTTATTATTTAACTGAAGTTCGACATTTTCATGGACTGATACATTGGGCTTATACTAAAATTAGTCACATCATCAAAAGTTGTAACATATTTGATACTAGAATGCAAATTGCATCCTGGTATGGTCAATGTGTCTACTACAATATGTGTAATATCAGGATGCATGTCCAGTTTACAAAGATAATATGAAAAGATTATCATACAATTAAATTTGAAAACGAAAAAAAAAAGTCCTACAGGTCACAATGCTCAGCCAGTTCTCTAGCTTTTTAACAAATGAATAATTGTACTGTATATAACAAACCCCCTACATGTGGCCCAACTATGTTCAGGGGCTTTTGTTGCATGCATAGATTGGACAAAAGTTTAGACCCCCCAAACTCCAACCCATGAATGAATTTGAATCAATTGGCACTACATTGGGGTATATGCAAAGTAATTTGATTAATTTCAATCTTGTTTTGCTGGAAAAAGCCTTTTTTGAAGAGTTATCAAATGTACATCGATGAAAATCATAGTCCCCTCCAAGACTCAGGGGGTCATTTCACTCATTTGTACATACTGGTACTTGATTCTGCACTGTATAATAAGATTCTACTTTTCTTTTTTTTCTCATTTTTTTTTAACCTTTGTTTTAAAATTGTTCTAATTTTTTTGCTGTTTTAATGAGTCCAACATATTTTCCTTATTTCTTCATTATCTCTTCTTAAAAGGGGATTTACTCTTCTTTTGACAAAGTAAATCACCTTAAAAGTTGCTACATGTACATGTATGTGCTTAATATAGTTGAAGTCTTTTGGAGAAGTGGAAAAAGTCAGACAAGACAAAAAATATTGAAGAAAACAGTAGATACATGTAATTTAACGAATTTATTTTCATAAAATAGGTAGTCCTGATTGATGATATATAACAATAAATCAACACAATGCAGTACATTTGTCAACATTTCTCAAATATAAATATCGAATTAAACAGTGGTAAACTGGTGTCATGTCATGTTTTAGTTCTAAAACAAAATTCAACAACCAAAATGATGAAAAACTAGAACTTCACAGTCTCTATCTTCACATATTTATCACAGTTGTTAGAATTATCACAAAGTAATACAAATGGAAATGTTCCCCTAGCCTAATTTGTACAGAAGAATTAAGAGTTAAGAGTTTAATTCATATTATTTATAAGGCTATTCTTGAAGCAACATATTACTCAATATGTATGTTCATTTTCAACATTTTACAGACTTCTCAGTTTTAAAATAACTTATATTATTTCCCAATTAAAATGTTTTTGTTTTTTTTCACAGGAAGTCCACATTAATTCTTAATGCCCTCACCTGGAAGATGGATTATTTGTACATATTACAAAGCATACAAATGAACATATGCATGTTCCATTTTAGATTTCAGTGGAATGCACTGGAAACATACTTTCTTGTTTGAAAATGTACATTGTACTGTATACAGGGTTATTTTTGCCCCATTTTATTTTTTCGCCCATTCACACTTGCGAACAATTTTGCCTCGTTTAAAATTCATCTAGTCACAGTTTTGTTTAAGAAATTATCCTGTGTTCTTTGAATTCACCCCGTTTTACATTTGCCCACCTGTGATTAGGGTGAAAGGGGCGAAAATAAAACGGGGGCGAAAATTTCCTCTTATACAGTATATAAAACATATTCATCTTAATTTTAATTCTGTGGTACATATCATTGAATCATCTGTTCTACTCCCATCTACTTTCAGACATTTTAAATTTGAGGAGCAAACATCAGTAATGTACATGTAATTCTCATGATAACTGTAGATTCCTTATTTTTACACAAATACTTCTTATCACAAAATATCTTACAGAAGTCAAATTGTGACATCATGAATTCACAAGTGGATCGACTATTGATCAAGAGTTTTCACATGTACATGTACATTGTATTTCAGCAATATAAAAATAAAAGCAAGTAATTTATTTTTGGCAAGTGGTGCTTTTTGCGAAATTACACAATAATAAATTCCTCATGTACACATGTATTTAGGAATCTACAGTATCGGTCATATATCAGGTTATACACATAACAATGTTTGTGTGTATCTCATTTTGTTGTTCCACCAAGTAAAACTTGAGACTTAAACAGTTACATAACACACTCATTGTTTTCCTTTCTGCTGCAGCCACTTTGTACAGATGTTTTTGACTGCTGTTTGTCCCATTCTTTGTGCGGCTCCGGCTATTCTCTGGACGTCGTCCACTCGGTCAGTTTTCACAGCCATCAAGTAGGCAGATCGAAGCTTACCACACAGAATGTAGGCATTGATCTAAATACAACAGCGATTTCAGTGAAGATATTGGACGTTGATACCATTGATGTTTCAAAAAAATATTTCAATTCAAAACAATCAAAGGTTTAAATATGTCTTTTGGTAGTAAGAAACAATAGCATTTTATTGAATAACAAAAAAAAAAAGGGTTAGATACTATAGTATCTATTCTTCTGTATTGATTCTGCTACATTTACTGAACAAGACCATACAATAATCTTACTTTATTAGAATCCTTTTTCAGTAACTTGATCAAATTTTCAGCTTCTTTTGCCTGCAAAGATCATGTATTGTTAACTTTAGTCATATTTTTACATATAATAGTTATAAAAACTGAATCATTACATCCACTCTGAATTGGATTTCATTTTAAACATGCTTACACTAGAAATGTATAAACTTAGAAATGCAAATATTTTTATTACATGCCATTGGGGAGGGGGGCAACCAAACATTTTCAGTTGGGAGGAGGGGGGCACTACCAAGCAAAAAATCCTTTAGAAGCAAAATAAAGTCATTTGATGTTATTATTGAGGGGGCACAAGCATAAAGTAGCTTTGTTTTCTATAGTATACTATATATCAACAAAATTATTGCGTGGGGGGGGGGGGGGGGGGGCATGTAATACAAATTTAAGACATGATGAAATGATTTTCGGTAAATGTACTTTATTTGGGTTGTTAGATAAAAGTATTTATTTTTGTTTATTACCTCATTTGGGCTCTTTGAGATGACCAATATACAAGCACCCACGATCTCATCCACTGTGTCCTCATCACCGTAACCGACCCTTGCAATGGCATCCAGTAGAGACCTGACGTAGGCGTATCGATGAGCCTTGGCCATCTCTCTGGCTACGTGAGTGAAGATTGCTGTCCCACCAAGTTTATACTCCTTTAATAATAATTTTTAAAACAGCATTACCTAAGTGTTGATAATACTTGTCTCAAAGGCTTCTGCTTTAATTGAAATGCATATGAGATTGCCCTAAGGTAAAAAATTACATAGACCATAAAGTTATGTGATAATCTTATCTGACCACTATAGCATGAAGCTATTAAATAAATGCTTTTAAAGTAAGAAGTCATTTGGTATGAAATTTCTGAGTATCATTTTATACTAACTTGGTCATATACATGTATTAAGTAAGTACCTTAATTATCTTGTAGGACAGTTCAAATGCTGTTGAAATATCATTTCCACTCAGGAGAACCTAAACAACCAAAATGATTAATAACTAACAATGAGAATCAAAGAAGTTTTAAAATATACCGTTTATCTTGCAACATATTTTCTTAACTCATAAAGGTTTAAACTTTTCTATTAAAAATTGAACTCCCAAAAAATATTGTCTTAACTATTTCAGTTTGAAGGATATAGAAATTGGTGCATAAAAGAGAATCAAACCATGTTGACAAGATCTGTCCTGGTTTTGGTGTTTCCAAACATGGTGGGGAGGTATTGCCTCCCGCTGACTGACGTGGGGCTTGGCATTGTTGCCTCGATGTCAGGATTGGTCAAGCAGTGATACAGGTATTTAGTTACTTCTATCTGGATTGACACAGTCCTTATGTATCTAACAGAAAAAATTGTTTCCTTTTATACTTCTACATTCAGGGTAAAATAATGAGAGGAAGAACACCTGAATAAATAATTTTGATTTGAATATACATGTATATATACACTGAATCTTTAAAATAACTTTGATATGAATATATATATATACACTGAATCCATAATCCAAACTGAAATTTATGAGCATGTCTCCTAGATATACACCAAATGCGTGTAAAAAATTATATCAAATTATCTTACTTTTCGTACTTTTCTAAGGTCAAACAACTGTACATTTTGCTACAACATAATATCAGATCTTTAGAAAAGCATTTTTATTTTTAAGAATTTCAAATAATGACCTCGAAACTTCCTCCGGAGACTGGATCAATCTTACTGGGTCCGGAGTTTGACCTGTAGAACTGAACTTTGACTCCTCTGATATGGTGGGGCGTCTGACACTCCCCCATTCTGAGGGATCCAGGTAGGATTGCATATGTCTGAGGGCCGTGTGGAGGTGACTGATCCTTGTGTACAGATCCAGATAACTATTGGCCCCCTCCTGATAGAAATAGTTAATGCAAGTCATGGCTGCTCGAATGTAATCCTGTAAGAAAAGGGAAAGAAAGTTACTGATTTTCTTATAATATTAAGATCATATTTAATGTACAGCATCTTTCCTTTCTAGCTATTCTCTTCACGAATTTGTCATACGTACATGTATATGTAGTAATTTTCTTTTGCAAAAAAAATTATTTCGTCTTATTCATGGCAAAAAAAATTGTCCAGAAGTTTGTCATATGAAAGGTAGCTTACAGTGTTACATGTACATTAACCATTAACCATGATCCACTTGCATTTTGAAAAAAAAAACTTCAACCTGATGAACTTCACTAATGACATCATCTGTAAGAAATCTTTATCACCTTCATAAATATCTGGAATTCATAGAGAACATGATGAAGCCTGTGCTTGACGAGATGTCGACAGGTGGCAGTCAGGTAGGGATTCCACTTTTCTAAGGATGGATCCAACATTACCATCTGGTCTGTTAACTTTCCCAGCTCCCCTGAATTCAGAGCAGGAATCAACAGAGATTCCACAAACACTTCTTTGGAACATTTCTGAAAAAGAGTCACTCACTTAAACAAATTGTTTTCATGTCAAGTTTTAAGATATTTATGTGTGTAGAATAGGTTCTTTAGCAATGCACAGTTCTAACTGTTGGACATGCATTTCCAGAGGAACATTGTCGTAAAAAAAAAAAACATCAGCTATACCAATAATACTGTTAATCTAAAAGCATATTAGTGTTTGTTTCTTAATTATCGGCACTCAAGTAATTTGTATCTTATCCAGCATATACTGTACGTGTAGGTGTGCAGATAATTTATACCTGATTCAGTATGTACTGTACGGCTTTCATCCAGCGACCATTTCTGCGGTGGAAGTTGATGATGGTGTAGAAGCTGGCATATGTCTTTAGGTAATAGTGACACTCATGGTATTGTAGGGTGTCTGTATCTCCTTCATCTGTCATCTAATAATGTACAGTCTGACAAATTAATACACATGTACATGTCAACTATAATAAAATTATAAGAAAAACTTGAGATCTTACTTTCAATCTGTTACTGTAAAACACTTTATTCGCTAGAACATTTTTTTTTTCGCATAGTTACACGACAGCTTCTGCTCACAAAAAATTTCATTGTCATATATATTTCTATAATCAAAAATTATATACAGCAAAAACTAAAATTTGTGAAAATTTTATCTCAGGCCTAGATAAATAAATTGTGTGTTTCCAGTTCCCCGACTGACCCTAAAATATATGAGCTGACCCTGAAAAATTCATCTGTCGATATCTTTCCGGAAGTAAACATTTCCATTTTCACTATGAGAAATCCTAATCTTGATCACTTCCGTGTTTGAGAAAATGAATATCCTATAACATTAAACAGAAATGCCATTAGTAAGCCACCTTTTGGGAAAAAAGAAATGAACTCTTTGTTTTTCTCATTTTGTTTACTGTCAAAGTTGAATTTTAACTAATAAAATGTTAAACTAAAATAAAATGTTTTCCCTACCTACCCTATTTTTTCTCGGGTTGGAATAGGAAACACAATATTTATTTACCTTGGCCTCACTTATAAATTCCAATTCACAATTTCACAAAATTAAGGTGTCATGAAAATTTGCTGATCTACAATAATACTATTAGTGTAAATATGTTTCTTGCTTCCCTACTATGTTTATTAAATTAATTGTCCTTCCATTTGCAGTTTCTTTTAAATCCCATGTATACATATGATTACTTACCATCAGTGGATCTGCTAACAAGTCTTGCCATGTCCCTCTTTTGCTCTTCATAAGTTGCAACTAATAAAGGAGAGTTAGAGTATACATGTACTCTGACACCATGATTAAGATTTCACAATAATGCAGCTCTATATGTGTTTGGCAATTCATAGTGGAGTTATTCCATGGTGCAATGTCAGTTTATTGGCAAGATCAGAGATAGGGTATATATCTAACAAAAAAGGTAGTATTGGTACATGGTGGTGACATTATGTAGATGTAAACATGTTTTATTTACTCATAACCCTATGGTCCCTGTTTCTGTTATTGATACATGTACTGATTTTAACTAAAGATATATGCTGTGGCATTGTACTCACAGATAATTATTAGTGGTTGTACTCACATGTTTTGTAACAGCTGATGGAGTAGATTCTAGGAAGTCAATAACATCTGCCAGAAGCTTTGGAGGAGGAATCACTTTATTGCGGTCAGAAAGAGGCTGGAGAAAAAATGGTGTGAAACTAATTACCAGTAGGGGTACAAAGAAACAAAACTTTCTGTATAACAATTTCAATTTTCAATTTAATTTATTGATTCACCAAACATGTTGGCATACAACCATGTTACATACAGAATTATAAGTACAATGTGTTATCAGAATACTAAAACACGTACTAAAGTACATACATAAGTGTACAAATCAGTGAAGTCAACTATGTTTACACTTTAAGTATATACTAGGGCTGCGCAATAATATCGATATTCCGGTATATTGTGATTCATTACCAAACAATATCGTATTGTGATACGTTTTTTCAGTACCGATATACTGGCAAAATGCTTGGGTTTAAGATTTTTTTAAGTAAATGTAAAATTTAATATGTAAGAAACGATTTCAATCGTGCCAAACAGTAAGGTTGTTGTTGCATGGTTGCATTTTGTTGCAAAACTGTAGTGAAACCAACAAGAACTTACTTGTGACAACATATCTATAATAGTAACATGCATCCTGTTTATAAAAGGAGGTTTAAAAAAATTAGAAAAAGCATTTTAACTGTTATTGAAAATATTGCAAAACATATTGCAATTCAGATAAAGATATCGCAATATATTGCAATACGAAATTTCCAGCCAATACCCAGCCCTAGTTTAAACATAATCATTTGGCAACCAGTATAATATGAACAGAGATGAATTGATTATATAACAGTGAAAAAGATATTTTTTCTTTAGAAATACACTATACATGTACCTGGGTATATACAAATGTACATGTATATATTCATATAATTGTGTTTTGATTTGTGAATATCTTGAACTCCTGAGCTGACCTTCAAGCATCGACTGAATTTTTCCCTGGCGCTGGGAAAGTCCCCATTCAACAGGCAGTTCATCCCCCAGGCTGCCCACACTCCTGCTGGGTCTAGACCACACTTAGTGGATACCTCCACTGCTAGATGGAGCCGCTCCACTTGAATCAATTTGTCCCTCATCCTCCTAAGAAGTAAAGATCAGATTATAAAATTAAGAGGAGGTCCATGAGTCACAATGGTCACCTGAGTGACCTTGCCCCTGCTCTTCGTCATCAGAAGAATTTCTTATCTAACAATTTTTACATAATGCTGTGATCAACTTAGCCCCATCCTTGGGCCTCAGTTTCACAATTTTGGTTCAATAGCATCATATGTATGACATGTTTGCTGAATCCAGAGGTTAAAACAATTTTTTTTAATAATCAATTTTTTTTAATAATCAAATTTCAGTAGTTTAGTACAGAGAAAGGGCTCAATGCTCCTTTTCAGTAAAAATAGTTTGTGTGCTAAAGAAAGGAACTTTTTAGAGAATAGAGATTACATTAATTCTGGAGATTTAAGCCTTGTCCCATCCTTCCTTACCCCCCACCCCACTCCACCCCAACCACACAAAAAGAATTCTGTTCTAAAATTAGTTAAAACTGGGTTCTGTTTTAGAGAAGAAGCTGTAAAAATTTAAGTTTACAGATCTACATGTACATTAGGGACAAGCACAGATTATAAAAAGTCATCTTATTGATTCAACCTGCTGACACAAGAAACCTGTGGAGATCACCTTCCAACAAGAAGTCTACAGAAATGCTAGCAGGTACTGTATGTATAAAATATACCGGTACATGTAGATTTACTCACGTAACATAGTCTTTCTTGGTAAGCTCTTGGAGGGTGGGAAGGTCAGTATAGTTGTCCCCCACTAGTATACCCAGTAAGTCAATATGGCTCTGGTAAGTCTCGCACCGCACAAGTCCCTGGGGATCACCAATGTTGATATATTGCATTTTGGCATGAACTAACAGGGTCTTCATCATACTGAAAACAATTGTGTTAAAGTTCAAAACAATTGTTTAAAATTGAATTTCTTGGAAAATTTCTGTTATAGGAATTTATTACTACTGGTATGACTTTCATTTGCCAAAGTTTCAATTCAAGAGGAAGCGGTGATACCTGAGAACCAGACTGTAATCCACCTCCGGGTTGGGAACTCCAGGAGCAATAGGTTTCAGGAACTCAGATAGGTTGTCACAGAGGTCCAGCATAAGCTTGCCACACTTGTGGGGTTTACTATGAAGACCCAGTAGAGACAGACACAACGAGGTACTGGGAGCCTAAGGAAAGAAAATCCTATCAGAATACACAATTTCCAATCCAATTTTCATTCAATACATTGCTAAAGGACTTTTTTCACTATTGTAGACTTATTTATCTATTTTATATATACAATGTACATATATTTGATTTCATTTAAAGAATTTTTCAATGCAGATCATGCTGTACTATATTTTTAATCATAGAAACTTACATGGATACTAGGTTTGTATAACAAGTACATGTAATTGGTTCTCATTTTAAAGAAGCAATTTACCTGGATACATTTGACTACTTGACAGTGCTTTTATATTTACCTGTTCATAATAGAAATCCTCCCGAACCATTTTATTGTGACCTGCATCACCAGGTTTTAGTTTCCATATCAGCTCTGAATGATGCATGGCATCAGTGAGATTGAGTGACTCGCCATGCTCTGGAATTATGGGAAAGTTTGAGCTGAATGTTCGAGATGTCAGACTGGAGCCAGACAAGTTTTCTGATGACTGCTGGTAAATCTCTACTTCAGGTTTCCTTTGTGTTTAAGAGAAAAAAAAAAGACTAAAACATGAAACATTTTCCTTAAATATCAATGCTGATTGTATTGCATATATTGTATGATTTAAACAAAACAATGCATTGTAAAACTGGTTATTTTTCCAAAGGGGGGGGGGGGGGTTAGTACGCTGTTATACATTACTCACAGGGTTAAATACACTTTCTCAAAATTGTTGGTACATGTATTTAATGTCTCTCAAGCTTTGATAATTCTTTCTTCCCTATGTGGGAAAATTTTTCATAGCTTTAAGCTTTCTACAGAACTAGTATAAATTTCCCACAGCTTTAGTTTGTGGTTAATGCATTCAAGAAATGCTCTTGAAATTGTACTTTGTCAGTTGTTTCTGTACATGTCCATGTAAATGGAATATTTTCTTAAAATTCAAACACTGTAAGTGTATCTTCTATTCTAATAGGGGGTCCTTCGGATGAGACCTTCAAAACTGAGGCCCCGTGTCACAGTAGGTGTTGGCACGATAAAGAACCCTCACTGCTCAATGGCCCTGAGTGCCGAGTAAAGGTCTAAATTTGAAGCTCTTCACCGGTATATGGTGATGTCTCTATATGAGTGAAAAATTCTCAAACGGGACGTAAAACAACATACAATTACATGTAATCAATCAATCTATTCTAATAGGACATTGTATATACCTTGTACTTTAATTGTACTTTATACCCTGTACTTTAATTGTACTTTACCTTGGACTGAACAGCTGGGAATAACAATCATCACAAGTCCTAACCTCCATACCACTGACTTGTGAAGTTTTTGTTGAACAGGAAGAGCAGACAACTCTGCCACAACGCCGACAGTGATGTCTTCTGTTAAACTGAAAATAAAAGTTTTATCATAAAATGAGGCATCGTACAGTGGAAAATTCTAATACATCAAGGGATATTTGAATGAAACTAAAACATTATATCTTTACAAATTTATGCAACCATTTCCCCCCAAAAAATTATGGCTTGGACAAGAATCTCAAGTATCCCTACTTTGACCTTGACAAAGTGACTGAAGTTAAAGGTCAAATTAAGAAATTTTAAGTACAGATGTGTCAAAGCTCAAACATGCATATTTTTCTTTTGTGTCTTCCAACACTCTTTTTAAAAAAGTATAATTTTCTTTGTTTATATTGATTTAGTCATCACACCATTTCAAAGATGCACTGTTTGAAATTTTTCACCATTAAAAAAAATCATTTTGATAAAGCAGAGTACAAAAACACATTGGTTGAACACTAACCATACTGAACCGCTCTACTTGGCAGACCATACACGTCTGCGTGGCACTATCTGGCTGCCATTTTTCTTTAGGTGGGGGCTCAGCTGGCATTACAAACTTGTTGGACTTGGTGGTCCTTGTGACAGGGGAACCTATATTTGGACTGTTACTTAGAAAGCCTCTATTTTTACCTGAAATATTAGGAATAATTATCCAAATGAATTTCACATCAAATATTAAACTGGAATGTGCCCTAGAATTAAATTATTCATATGCTCGAATAAAATTTGAATACTGTAAAACTTAATGTTCCATAACACAAAGGAAAATATACTATATTTTTATCCTATACTTGAACTCAAACAAATATAACAATGAATTTTCATAAAACCCTTTTGATAGTATTTGAAAGCCTGGCAAAGATAAATGAAAATAAAAAAAGAAATATAAACTACAAGAACTACTGTAGATTACTTAATTTTCGCAACACCTTATTTTTGCGAGATTGTTATTTGGTTTTTATAAGCAAGGCAAAATTTTCACAAATTTCAGTTATTGCTCTATATAGTCTTTAATTATACTAATATATGCGAGAATGAAACTTTTGCAAGCAGAAGCTCTCAGGTAATTATGCGAAAATAAAGTTCTCATAAATAAAAAGACAATGAAATGATTCCATGCCCAGGAGAGAAGAGAAATTCAGTTTATACTTTACATCATACTTAACCTGTAAGTCATAATATTAGTCAAATGATCCCTAGTTGCAATATTGCAAATGTTTTACTACATGTAACAATAAAGAACCCTGCATGGGAGTATTCTAGGTTTATTTATACATATTCAAAATAAATATACATATTTAGTTCAGTAAATTGATTTTATGTCTAGACTTTTATTCACACATGAATCATTCATGTACAGCAGAACTTTGGTATCTCTATCACTGATTTGTTGATTACAATACCAAGAATATGCCAAAGCTACAGTACAAACTACAATCTGAATTTCTACTACTGTGGAATCATTTTAATATGTGGGGGTCAATGTTCATGGGCAAGCAAAATCTTACTTGTTCGTGGGGACTTAATTTCATAGGTTACTCGTTTATAGTGTAGATTTAATGAATCAATTTAATGAACCAATATATTTACAAAATAAATGTTCGTGGGGATGTAAATTGGTGGGTAAGGGTGAACCACGAACATTGGTCCCCCACAAACAATGATGATTCCACAGTATGTTATCTCAAACACACAGATATCTTCAACTTTTTTGTCAGTTCTCCTAAATTTGAGATACCAAAGTTTCACTGTCATAGTATAAGTAACAAGTGAAGATAGGAAAACATTTTAAGCAGAAGCATAAACTCTCAACTAACACAAGTAAAAAATACAGTCTACCTGCTGCTTTGGGATACTTAATCAATAAATCTGACAATTAGAGAAGATATAATGTAGCAGATTTAAGTATGTACATAGATCTTTGAGACTAAGATCTAATTCTACGAACAAAAGAAATTAAAGATTACAATGTTCACCTTGTCCATGCAATGACACTTCCACAGTACATTTTACCTTTCTAGTACAGACATGTACATGTATATATATTGTAAGTATCAAAGTACAATTTTTCCTCCACTGTTCTCACTTTTGTAACATGGGTATATCACATGGCTATAATTTTTGTCAGCTATAATTATGGTTTATCATTTCTCAGTTCACTCAGATAAATTATCATTTCAAAGCTAGTGATTTTCAAAATGAAATAAAAATTAAATGCACTCATTTCAGCATACCAAGCAGGGCAAAATTTGAAATGGTCTTGATACTAAACAATAATACTGTAATTTATCCAAATGAGAGTTATCTCTCTTATCAGTGGGTGGAGGAACCTTAAAAATATATCCATCTAATCACTATAACACAGAACAGTTTTTGGACATAAAGGAAATAAATGCTACTTTTCAGGATCACAAAGGGAGGAATTTGAGGACTAAGAATTTTAATATGTCTTCTACCTGTATAATCAATGCTCCTCCTGACCCTCACAGACTCAGTTAAACTGGTTCTCTTTGTGGGAGACTTGTCTGGTGCCCCATCCAGCTTGTCCGAGGAGGCATTGGAGGAAATGGACTGTTGTGATTGAGATCGGTCCTTTTCTAAAATACAAACTTAAAACTAGATATACTGTGAGCAATGAGCTCACAAAATGACACCCACCCTTTCCAAAAAAGGTGTACACAGAAGTGTAACGGAGGGATGTACAGATGGATACCCCCATCACCATACCCCCACCCCCACCCCCCACACACTTTCAAGCGGGGGTATAAAAAGTACATGTACAGCAAAACATAGATAAAGTGAACATACTGTACATGTACTTATATAATGAATTTACAATTACAGCTTAAAATAAATTTATAATTTTATCAAAGTCATTTTCATTCCCTGTAGTTTTAAAACATATCATGAACTTAAAGGATATAACAAAATATGATAAAAACAAATCAACATTGTTCAGCCCTGGCCCTTTAGGTGTATTTTACTGTATAACTCTGAATTACATTACATTTATTCCATCATTTTTTTTACATCAACCAATATATTCATTAACAAATTATTAATTAATTTAATATGATTCCACCTATGCAATATATTAAACTGATGTTAAAAGATACCTGATTCAGCATACTGGATCACAATAAATTCTAAAGCCTTTGTTGCGTACTCTGCTATCAGTGTATTAAAGTCCTGCTGTGTAAACCTCTGCCCCACATTTCTTAGCTTTTCCAATTCAAAATGAACTTTCTGGAATGCTGTGCTGGCTAATTCTACCTATCATCAACAATATCAAAATCATTAACTTTTTCCTTATATCAACAGTTCCATATGGAGTAGTTAAATTACTTTTCAACTAGCACTTCCTATTGAAGAACTTTATAATGAAGATGGATTAAATATCCAAGTAATCTACAGTACGTGTTACCTTCATGTTCATCAATAACTGCTCCAACATCAGCTTTGGTTCAGCCACTAGGTGACAGTATTCATGCACAAAGTTCTCTGGCATACACAACAACATCTGTATATAAAATTACAAGTTTATTAAAGATTGTATACTGACTTTACAAAATTCATTGTTAGATGTGGGTACAGTTAACACAAATCAAAAATTTCAAAGTAGACCCAAAAGGAATTGATCAAATTATGGAGTACTTTTGAATTGATTTAAGGACATATGCAACGTACCTTACCTACTGATAATTTTTCAAGATATTCTTAATATAAGATTATAGTGCCACCAGATGTTCGTATACAAAAAATCAGCATGCATTACCAGGGGTTTTGAAAAGATATCAATTGATGAAAATTCTTGTATAATTCAAAGATAAATATACAAAAATTACTGAACATATATTCTAGATGTTTTGTTTATCCAAACTTGTTTTAGAAGAAGTGTACAATAGCATATATAGACATTAAAATGTAGCACACAGTTCCTGTAGTATTGGAACTCTTCAATTCCAGGGAAAAAGACAATAAAGTTCGAACTTTGTTGCGTATGTCCTTAATTCAATTAACAAATTATAATGCATGTAATTTTTATCGAATATGCAAAAGTCTTTACTCTTTTAATTAAACAAAAAAGATACATTTTGCAGAAAATTTCTTCTACTATCAAATGAAATGTGTCCCCCTCTATCTCTCATAAAAAAAAGTTACTGAAAACCAATTTTTATTCACTTGCAGGAAATGCCTGGTATCTACAAATATTTATCACCACAATCCATTGAATTAATTCCAATTAAATGTGGTAGATGGATTTCAAACTAATGGAATGCAAATAAATCTTGTACAGAATAATAGTTTGTTTACAGTGAGTTTTTTTAAAATGAACTTACATCACATCCTATCTTTGTCTGATGAAGTTCATCTGTCCTCTCCTCTGTTAACACACCAGTCAGGTGCTCCATCATGTAACTTACAACAAACAAACGGTCTTTCTGATTGGTCAATTTCCCAAGCAAATTCTCACAAATTTTGTAACAGTCCTTCTCATTTGTCTGTTTTAATTCCTCCAAAATCTGATGGAAACAGTCATTACACTAGAGTTCATATCCACTTTTAACATTAATGAAAAAAAGCACACAAAGAATATCTAAGAAACCACCTCAAACTGTAGCAAGAAACTGTTCCTCGACCACAAATGCTTCAAATGTGAGAGGACAAAAACAAACTGAATTTATGTAGATGAAAAGACAAACTTATGACAATTTTCTAGCATTCACATACATGTGGACTCACCATAAAAGATTTTGTTGAATCTGATTTGGAATTTTCAAGAAGAGTGAAAAGTTGATGTTCAACGACATCCTACAATTAAAATTTATCTTGTAACGATTACTATTGCATGCATCTATAAAAGCAAAGGTAAGGATTTAAGTAAATAAGTATGCATCAAAAGATTTGCTACATGTACATTACTTTAAATTTGTTTTTTAAGAAATGAAAAGATACAATCACACAATATGTATAACAAGAAAAAGTTTATAGTATTCTTCAAGAATCAGATAATTAGATATTTACCAGATACTTTTGCTCGGGGAAGTTGACAAATCCACACCACTGTCTGGCTGTCTCGTAATCTCCAGTCCGCAGTAGGACAGACAACACTGTACTGGCTTGTTTGGGAGACTGAACATTTCTCCATTCTGTCAACTGTTCCAAACTGTCAATGTCTGTTTTGTCTAGCTTATCAAAGGATGTCCCACTGGAAATCTTAAACTGCAGAGTTTTGGCACATTCTGTTATCTGCATGTTAAAGAAAGTAGAAAAATTGAAGTTATAGCAAGATGAACAGCAATATTACACTGCACTTTGCCATTACGTATGCATATAAATGTGCATGTGATTTTAGAATATTCAAGAAACAAACAAAACTAATTATTCCCATTAAAACTTTTTGTCAGCTTACCCTAAGAAACATCTTTAATTCCTGTATTTTTGTTTTTACAGCTGAATGCAGAGATTCGTGAGACTGGAGATAGAATGCCAGGTCAAAAAGTTCACAACACTCATCCAGAGGCAGACTTTTATAAACAGAGAGCAACAAATGAACAAATTTTTCTTTGTCTATGAATTTGTGCACACAACAGACAACTTTGTTCGTTTGGGATTCGTTTAATGATTGATTCCCTCTGATCAATTCAGTCACACAACAAGCCAAGGCAAAGTCATGGAGAACGCAGAGTTGAGGTTGTTGCCTAGTAACAATAATTGGAATGCCCTCTAGTAGTGATATCACAGTCAACCATTTTCCCTCTTTAGTCAGATCCTCTAATAATTTCATCAACACAGACTGAAACTCCTTGCTGGTGTGTAAATTGAGCATACAAACTTTCACTCTGTCTGAGATATTGTTGGAAATGAATTTCAGAATGGGGTCGGCACTGCCCAATATTTCAGGATCCTCTGCCCCTGCAATAGGTATAACGTAGCTCAGAATGTGTCCATTTAGTATGGGATAGTCCCTGGTCAGTCTCTGATACCTATAGCTTTTAATGTCCACCAGACTCATCTCTGAGGAGGAACGGCTCCTTAAACTTCCTGTGAAATGGTCAACATTCAGGTGTTCCTCTATATCATCTAACTCATCCATGCACACAAGACTGACCAAAGTGGCCACTAGAGGGCTCTCATCTTTGATGTACTCCAGTGTTAGGGGTGTTAACTGGTATTTCATAGGGGTCGCTTTTTTACTTCCACCACTGTGTTCAAATGAAAGGTCAAGATTTTTGGGAAGGGAGGTAACTCTTCTGTGGGTTTTGTGGACAGCCAGTGCAGGTGAGGATGAAATTGACCTCAGACTTCTTGTTTCATTGTCAAACTTTACCAGAAAGTTATAATGGAATTTATCAGTTAAAACTTTAAAAGGAAGTTCCTTCCTTCCAGCTGTATCTGAAAGAGAATTTTAATGAGCTTAAAAATCTAGAGGTATTTTGCAATTTTTATCTCAAAATTTTATTGGCCTAAATAAATTAGGCTGATTTTTGAATAATTTTTTTCAAATACAATTAAACTTTGGCATCTTGAACACCTATGTCTTGAATACCATGGATATGTCATAGTCACTTCGAAATCCCAGTCTCTTATTCTTTAAAGTATTTTACCCTGGATATCTTGAATACTTGGATATCTTAAAGTTTTTTCTTGGTCCCATTGAGTCCGAGATAACAAGGTCTGATTGTACATACATTTTCAAATTTGCATAATTTTCATTGTACAAAGTCACATCAGCTAAATATCAGCACAAATTTCAATTATTGTTCACTACCCCCTTTCCAGTCAGTATACTTACCAATACTCTCTGAGTATCCATGAACCTTGTCCATTTGTAACATCTCTCTCAGTACTGCCTGTGTTGACCCCGTGGTGTGCCCCTCCACTACGTGTAGGATTCCCTCATGTTCTGCTGTAAATGTTTCCTGTTCACTGCTGAAATCGTGTCTATACCACATCAACAGCTCAGGAAGGGTGATCTAAGGGGGAAATATAAAAATGTTAACTAGAAATGTATTGATGTTTTCCCTCATCTGTCCTCTATACTTATGGGGTTAATGTGATATCAAGTATTGAGGGACATTTTGAAAGACAAATGAAAGAATGATTATTTTGGTTGCTTGCCTTAATGACTGATGAAAAAGATAATCTATATCATATAAACACATGTAATCTTATGACTCAAAGTATAGACTCTGACAATCTGGTCAATTAGTAAAACTCAATTATCTCCCACATGTAATCTTGACCATTCTTACTGTATTGTCATCCTTGTCAATCTCTACACAGTGTGTTAAATATTCTCTCATGGCAGACTGCAACTGACTTTTGACTAGCTCTGGGTTAAGAACCTGAAAGAAAATTAACAGAAATACATGTACAAGTATTATCTACAAATGCAGATATACGTATGACAGAAAGTAAAAGATAAAGATGCACCCATCATCAGAATATTGAAAGAATGTTCCTCAATAATTTTATAAAAAATTATGCAAGCAAAAGATATGATAAAAGAATAACCTGTAATGGAGGTGAGGACTCGGAGCATGTGGTGGTCACAAACAGAAGTCGAGGCTCCGGATATAGTGCAAAGTTAAACCAGGGATCACTTTTATTTAGCTCTGTGGAAGCCAAAACAAAAACACTGACATCATCAAATGAAAAAATAATGTACAAGACGGATGCAGCTGCTTTTTAATTTGTAAATTTTCAATGCCATCCATCATATTTACCCAACATTCTATTCTTTAGGATGTCTTCAAACTCTGATGGGGGTGGAAGTCCACATCGATTCAAAATAAACTTTAAATCAAACAGGCTGAAAAATTTCAACAAAATCCACTGATACACAATCTTATTGTAAGTATTAATTGGTAAAAAAAGAATATACATGTACAACAATAATTCTACACATATATTCCACAAAATCCAAAACAATGTTTTTTCCTCATTTGTACATGTAATAACTATCTAACATTATTTATACAGATGCTTAAATAATGTATTTTTCCAATAACATACAGTATTTGTTTTTATATTTGCAATCAAAACTGAAATGGACCCTAAAGCAAATTCTATTAATCCTACTACATAACTACACTGTATGCTAAAGGATATTTTCATCTTCTTACCTTACTCTTCCCAGCTGTCCAATATTATAGCTGAAAAGACTCATTTGTACAATTTTCTCAATTCCACACAACTCACAATAAATCTTCTCATTGAGATCTTCTGTATTGGAGGTAGATTTGTCAATATCATCCAAGCACATGTGAAGAAACATAAGATTTTGTAAATTACCATAAAAACATAGCTTTTCTTCCCTGGATTTTAATGAATTTAAATCAAGTTCTCTGAAACACTTAGTTCCTGATACAATTTCCCTATATTCTGGAAGTCTGATTAGACATTTGGCACAAGAAATGTCAAAAACACCCTTAGGATTTGTGTTTGTGGTGACATCTTTCATGAGATGCAAGAGACGAGTTAGGATGCTCCGCACAATTGCCTCTGGTCCTTCTGGCAAGGAAGCCAATCTTTTTTCTGATTGTCTCTCAGACACTTTCCTCTTTGATACTGAAAAATTAAATCAAAACATAGTAACAAACTTTCTTCCTTTATTCAGAAAAATGAAATCAAAATACACATGTACAATTAAAAAGTATCCTATGACAAAAGTTCAAAAGAAACCGAAATATGTGTGTGACAAAAACTGCAGTTACAAGTACAATGTACATGTAAATATGCAGTTTACTATAAGAAGGGGAGAGGGAACCTATTTAAAAATGAAAATTTATTGGATGACTGGTGAAGTATTTTAAAACTTTTGATCCTGACATTTGATTAAGTGACCCCATATTCAATAATCAACTTTTACTTCTCAGTCATTTACTTTTTGAACGAAAAATGGAATCATTAGTTTGTAAAATAGTTGAGGAATGTTGACCTTGACCTTTAACTCAGTGATCCCAATACATTGTATCCAAATGTGTTTTTCTTTGACCACCCTCCACTTATTTAAACATTTTAAAATCATCTGGGTCACATGTATTTAGTTCATGTCAAACCGCAAATTGAGGTGTGAACTGGACATACATGTACACTTAACAAGCTGGGTTCTCCACATTTGAAAATTTAACCATGGAGGAAGCTGCGCGAAGGCGAAATGTGACCAAAAACACTTCATTAATCTATGATTGGTTTCACAAAACTTAACCACTGCAACACAAAAAGTTGAAAAAAAAAACTAAAAAAAAAAAAAATATAAATGAAAATAAAAAGAATTATGTATCTTACTTTAAAAATGTACCAAAATTGTTATAAGATGAATGAATAATGTGGTTTTCATTGCTTAAAAGCAACTTTGAAAATTGGTGCAAATCATGGGTGTCTTAATAAACAACCAATTTATCTTTCTTTGCTTTATTAGGTAAAACACTCACCTTGTTTAAGGCAAAGTTTACTAGGAATGTTGGTACAACAGCTCTGAACAATAATCTGAGTCAGACTCAAACTCAGTCTCTTGGCCACCTTCTCCAACCTTCATAAACAAAAAAATGTTATTCGAAAAACCCAATGCTTGTGTAATGTATTCATTTTAATCCTACAGTATATATCATATTTGATTGAATAAAAAAAAATGTTTATCAATGCACTCTAAATTAATATGTATTCATGATGTGTGTACATGTATAATGAACTTCTATATTTGACTTTATTGTGAATTATGAAAGTAATAAATATATTACTTCTCAGGGAAAATTCTCAAAGAAAACATTAATCTCCCTAGAGTCTCAATAGGTCCCTCAGACAGCATATGGAAGTAGTTCTTAGGTGTTATTACAGAATCTGAAATTAAAAACAAAGTTCCTTTAAATAAATCTGCAAATAAACAGTACAAATATTTATCAAGCAATTAAGAAAAACCTTCAAATTAAGAAATCAGCAAAATAAGCATAGGTAATTTTAATAGAATTAATTTTCATTAAAAAAATATTTTTGAAACAGATGAGTTTTTTTGGGAGAGTAGAAAAATCTGTATATTAATGTGGAAGCTTACCACTAGCTTTTGCTTCTGTTTCAGCCACCACAAAGGCCAGACCCTTTAGATGATCATACAAGTGTTGTAAATAGTCCCTGCTCCCTACTGAAGACGGAGGTGTTCTGTTGGGTACAATCAACAGAAAATTAAAATGAAACTAATCTAAAATCCATACTATGTGTGTGTTATTCCCATCTTTATTGAATTTCTTAATTTCAGATTGAATAACATTACTAAACTATCCAAGGAATAATATGGGAAGTTAGTGAGTTACTAAAATCACAGAATTTTAAAGGGGGTTAATTTGGTGGATATCTTTGAAATCCCTCATGCAGGAATTAACTTTCTGTGTGATTATTGATATACAGGTGGTATCCTTCATAATGAGATGTCTGCCCACAAAATAAAAGCTCTAAGTACCTACAAATTTTTAGCAATCAATGTAAATGCCTCCCCCTCCCTCAACAATGTATTAAAATGACTCTGTGGTACACGTACATTTATATATCACAATCATGGATACATGTATTTGTTAGCCTACTTTTATGGTCTATTTCTAGTATGTTCTATTTAAGTTATAATGTGATATCACTATCAAGCACAGGAGACTCGCATTTAGAAAAAAACCTACATATTTATATCTTAATAGCTGAATTCCTAAGATGATCTGTAGATATTCAACTTATGACAATAAGAAACAACAAGTCTGTGAGCCAATGCTCACAAGTAATACCCCGCTTTGATGTGAATGTGATGAAAATTTGTTCTGTATGGTATGGACACACGCAGAGATAAACAGGAGATAAACAGGAAGTTGACATAGGATTCATAAAAATTAATCCCACCATATGACATGCCTAAACAAAGAAAGTGCTAAAATTTCAAGCATCTGCAATTAGTAGTTGCTGAGAAAACTGCGACCAAAATATGTTATGTATGGTATGGACAGACGCACGGTTACACAGGAAGTTGACATAGGATTCGTACAAAAATTAATCCCATCACATGGCATGCCTAAACAAAGAATGTGCTAAAATTTCAAGCATCTGCAATCAGTAGTTGCTGAGAAAACTGTGACAAAAAAATTTGTTACAGACAGACAGACACACAGACAGATGGACACACAGAAAGACACACAAGGGTAAAACAGTATACCCCCCTCTCCTTCTGAGCGGGGGTATACCGTAATTAGTTCTTGACATACCTTGTCATAACAGTACACATCCCTCCCTTAGGGACCTCTTTCTGCATCACATGAATCAGATGTTTCATGGCATTGTGCAACACTGGTTTATCTGTCTGTGTGGGGTCCTCAGATTTTGGGGAGGGTCTGGGACTGGTTTGGGGGCTAGTCCTTGGACTAATTTTTGATGGACTGAATTCAGAACTACCCTTCTGTGCCCTGTGGATGTACCCCTCCAGTGGCATCTTGCCATGCTGTTGGAATGCATGTTCTGTTTTATCTATGACTTTTTTCATTTCTATCAACATCACAGCATATGTTAAACAGTCATCTCTTAAAAGAGGGAGTGTTGCTGTCTGAAGGAATGTTTGAATGCTATGTTTATAAAGCATTGATAGAGTTTCTTTGTGGGAAAGTGTTGTGGTTAAGTCCATGTCTCCACCAAGCTGAAGCAAAGATTCGAACTTTATAATAAGACTAGGAATTCCTTGAATTCTCTGATCAGTTTTCTTTTTGTCTTCCCCATTGGAGACTGAGACTTTCTGGGGTTTAATGTTGAACTTGGATTTGATTATGTCAATTAGGCTGTTACATGTTTCCCAACTTTTGCAGGAAGTGCACAGCACGTCAAATAAAATCATCATATGCACATTGTTCTGATCAAACAGTTCTGAATATTTCACAGGTATGACATGCCTTGACTTTGGACATGGAATTATGGGAAGGCCTTTTTCATTTAGAATTTCCTCTGCTACACTATTCACAGACACAGTGGCTACTCCTGCTGCTGCCACTGATGCCAAGCCTTTCATGGAGAGTTTCCCTGGCTTCACAGCCTGGCTTTGCCCTGAGGGAAGTTGTTGAAGTTTCTTGGAACACTTAGAGAACAATTCTGCAAACTTGACTTCTTTTGCTTGAGGAGTGTCATCCAGTCTTAATAGCTATATGCATAAAAGTTTTCAATAGGAAATTAATTAAGTTTTCAAAAAATGAGAAAGTAATTAGATGATGATTAAGATAACATTCATTATTTTAATAAACAATATGGCAGTAACAGGAACTAAACTAAATTTCCTCATTGTGGTTTGCATTTGATAGCTGACACTAACTGCAGCTGTAAATTTAAAGACAATAGTACACAGACCTTGATAACTTCAGAAGCATGGCTAAAGTTTTGTTTACGTATACACATATTCAGTAGAGTTTCTGAAGAGGACAACATAGTGGATATGATCCCCATTGGAATGGGAGATTTTCGGATCTTCTGTCCTGTCTGAGATCTGTGTCGTCTCCTTTTGTGTTTTCTGTTTGACTTGTTATCTTCATCTCTTGGGTCTAATTAAAATAAATTTTAAAAAAGATTCAATTAAATGCATCACTAAATGTTTCAGGTCCAGTTAATGGCCAATTCCTCTCTGATCCTGACATCTGATTTATGTTATCTTGACTTGAAATGAATAAAACCCAATGCTCATGGATATATCGACATAAAAGATAATGGATAAAATTTGTAATACAAACATGCAGACACACCTTTTGAAGAAGAGGAAATTCTCCTTATTCGTTTGGTAGCACCATTTTTTTGTTGCAGAAAAAAAGCCAACTCATCATCATTCTCCTCCAGAGAAAAAGACAGTGGTTTAGCCAGGACCACCCCCGGGGTTCGAGGAATCATTTCATGACAAACCAATTGGAACCTCCACTGAGCCTCACTAACAAACTGCTGAAGTTGTGATGCATGTCTTTGTAGTGTATCTCTTCCCACACTAGACTGGACCAAACGTGATAGAGGTTCCTCCAAACTGACATCTATAACTGTCTTTGTAGCTTTTCCAGATGTTTCCTTATTGCCTAATATTTGGAACTTGGCAGAACTCAGATCAACTAGACACTCTTTCAATAATGCTAGAATGTCTCTGACTAGATACTCGTTACAAAGGAAGCCAAATTTCCTACAACTGCTGGTACTCCCGGTGCTAAGTGTGCTCCCATTTCCAGATCCCCCTTTCTGCTGGGCCAACTTTTCCTTTAAACTGTTCAATCTTTGAAGATAAACAGTCCGATTATTGTCTTGACTAGCTGATCTTTCTCTTTTCTTCACTTTGACATCTGGAACTGTCTCTTCAAATGGTTCATCGTAGCTACCAATAACAATTTGTCCAATACCTGTTAGATCCTCACTTGCAAATCTTTCATCAACACTCTGTGAGGGTGAGGAAGTGCTTCCCTCTGACAACGCACTCTGACTCAGGCTCGGACGATCACCCACTATAGTCTCACTTCTTCCTCGTTTGTCTTCTTCTCCTGTTTCACTATCAGAATCAAAAATGGCGGAAGATTCCTGAATTTCCTCATGTGACAGAAAAAGTAACGAAAAGATATTTTCTAATATTTCTACTCTGAATGTTAATGGTTGCAGTTTGCTCAGATAGATTTTGGCACTACTGAGTTTCTCAGTGACATTTTTGGAGTACTCTTCTTGAAAGTTATATCCTGAATCAGAAGTGCCCAAGTCGCTGGAAGACATGCTGGAAATCATGTGTTCCAGTGGACTTACAGAATTGGACTCTTGCACTGGATGAACTAGTTTTTCATGAACACATTCAGCACAAAAATAAACAGCATCCATGACATTTTTTATTGCACAATAACCAGTGTAGATAGAAATATCTCTCCATCTCTCGATATGAAACTCATCCTTTTCTTTGTCTGCTTGAAATCTCACAGATTTTGTTGACTTGCTAGAATCTGGAGGAAAAAAAAGAATTCCATATTCTGAGCTCATTTCATGCAGAACAGAGATATAGTGTCCTTTACATATATTCCAGGAAATATTTATTTTATATGAATGAGCTTAATTTTCGCATATTCTCAAAGAATTTGTGATTTCATTTTGTTTGAAATACAAACTATGCAAATCAATTTCTTAACCTCAGGATTTTCTCAAACAATCCCCAAAAAAAATGGGATTGTGGGATTCTTATACCTGGGTTTTTCTGTAGTGGACTCTTTTGTAGAAGGTTCAGGACTTCCTGTTGCTCTAGTGAAGCTAGGCGTGTAGACTGATGAAGCACGTACAACACAGAATGGTTCTCTAGTCCCGTAAACATGTCCGCTGCTCTCTGATTGGAGCTTACTTGGCCCTTCTCAGCTGCTGGTAAAAGTGGCCTAAAGAAGACCAGAGAAAATAATTCAGAAATTTTCCTCTTACTTACCCACTCATTTTATTAATCTGTCACCATCAAATACGATTGCTGGGTATTCATAGTCTTTTATGCAGATATTGACTATCGTTCCTGGTGTAACCATACTGAAAAACTGTTACATGTAGAAGCAACATTTTTCTATTTGAGAATTGCCAATTGAAAATCGCTACATGACAAATAATTTTTGTCATTGAGGTTTCCTGTTCATAAATTTTTAAAATTTTCATGCTTCTAAAACAATACTTAGCTGTAAGCTAAAATTTCTTGCAAATCTTGCGGATACATTGTATTTTTCTCACACTTATAAAATTTATTTTCACATTATCCTACATCTTATCTGCAGTGTATTTTGATTTTCCAGACTTCTACAGAAACTAACACAAGTGTTAGATGTTAAACATATGTTTTATAAGAATGAGGCATTAATGACATACTTGGTTCTGTCTAGACACCACTTGATAAGGTCAATCTGGTAAGACAACTTATTACAGGCACTCTCCAGTGCTGGGTGGGAACTCTTCCACTATAAAGAGTTAAAAAAAACACTACAGTAATGTATAGTATGGGTGAAACTCTTTCACTACAAATAGATTTAACTATACAGAAACAAAATATACAAAGAATATAAATTAAGTATCATTGTTTTTGCATTGTTTCAGGCTTCAATGTAAAATGCTGGCAAGATGAGGTTAAAATATTGCCGAATTGGTGTAAACCCCCCTAATAATCAATCATTTTTAAATGAGAAACTTAACCTGTTCATTTTTTAAGGTGTCCAACAGAAGCTTAGCTTGAGCACAGGTCTGACAGTAGGACCAGCCATGTAGGAGAAGAAAAGGCCTCAAGTGATCAAACATTCCTGATGATAGAAGCTGACCCAGTTCCTCAAACAGGCCATGTTTAATCAAAAGGACTGCTGTGTTCTAAAACAAGAATTTAAGAGCTTTTAAGACATGCGTACAGTGTATATTCAAGAACAATACAAACATAATATTTTTTTTTTCTTGTAAAATTTAATATTCTTTTGCATCTTCTCTTTTAAATACTGAACTCAACATGAAATGGAAAACTGATTTTCTCTGAATTTATCTACAAAAAGGTACCTCATATCATTTCTCTTTTAAAAGAATGCTGTTTAATTTTTTTCATAAAAAGTTAAAATAATGGCCAATCATAATTACCACAACAATATTAAGAAAATGTTCTTTGTTTATATAACACATCATAAACAGCTGATGCATTCCTTCCTCTGTATCCTGTTCTTTTGAAATTTTCAGCATCACTCTGGTTTCTTCTGTAGCATCAACATCTCTCAGATTTGAAGGAAAACTGCACGTCTTGACATAAACTTCATGCTCTAGCTTCAGAAATTCCTGCACCAAATAATTATCTTCTGCCCCTATCAGGGCTGACAGCAGTGATTTTCTATTCAGTACGGGCCTCTCTCCACTTGACAGTTCCAAGAACCTGCCAAAGATCTCCCTAATCTCTGGATAATTTTCATAGGTATGGGGATTGAACAGTGAGAGTATCTGATATAAAGTTTGCAGATTATCATCCAATGATGACACTGTGTTTTCCACTCCATTCTCTACCACTTTCTCCCCTACATCCGAAACTTCTTGAAGGGGTTGGGAAATTTTATCCAGAACACTGCTGATGGCTTTGATATAAAGTAACTGCAGTACTTTGTTGTTTTTCTTGTACTGTTCATGGTCTGACTTTGCATGGAGAGACTGTATTAACCTGTTGCCTAGAACTGGATTCTGTTGTAGAATGGACAGCAGTGTCTGTAGAAGTTGTGTGATCAGGACACGAGGACTGCGGGTCTGGGCGTTCCCCCGACACTCCAGCTGAAGCACATTCTGGTGGTACTGATACAATTCCTGTATGTAAAGACATCAACATTTCAGATTTTTCCAAACAATAATTATTCCATCTGTTGTATGTTTCATCAAACTTTATGTAAAATATTATCATATACACATACCTTGAGTATTGTTGCAGGTATCAATTCACAAGCGTCAAATAATATCAATGAAAACTCAACATCCTTTAGCAGTAGTTCAAAATCCTTTTCCTTAAAAGAAATAAAGTTTATGATTCATAAGGATATATATGTCATTATAATATAGTAAAGTCAGCAAACACATGTTTCTGAGCAGCTCCAATTACAGTGGAGCCTCATTTATCTGGACGCTTTGGTTCCCAGTCAAATTGTACGGATATGTGAAGCGTCCGAATACCTGAATTGCCATGATTTTAGTTATACGGCCCTTCATACCATTGGCAATAGCAAATTTGTTTTACTGTTTAAATACTTTAATATACATTAGAACTCAGTACTTGTTTAAATAAAATAAAAAAGTACATTGTCATTGGATGAAATATTGTTTATGTGAAAACATTAATTATTTCTACTTCCCAGTGTCTATGAATCAACCTCTCCTAGCCAAGTGTCTGTAGAGCTGGTAGAGAAAAAAAACTGTCGGTAGAGTCTTATTTAATATGAACATCCATCAATGCTATATCATTAAATGTGAAATTAACTGCACATGTATACGTATGCTAATCATAATCATCCGAAGCAAGATCGATTTATTAATGAAATCTTGTGTAATAATGAAGTGATTTTATAAATGTCATCAAATCACAGAATTCGTTTTGCGCATAAAATACTGTGCACAAAAAAAAACTCTGATGTCATGTCTATAAGTAGCAATACATAAATATTACGACTGTATTCTGACAGTAAAAGAAATATTTTTGCCGACTGAAAAATTATGGACTTATAAAATTATTTTCCTTAATTAATAAGTATCAAATATATGTTTGAGAAGGGAGAGTCTTGTGCATGCTTATTGACCTATAATTAACCTTGCCGCAAGCCATTGATAACAAGTCGCAGGTGATCATCTTTTAAAACAAACATCCAGGCCAGTGTTTTTACAACAATTAATACCCTGAAAAAGAAATTTTAGCAGAGTTGACTGACCAATTAAAAATATATCGTCCGGATAAATGAACCAAAATATAACGTAAAAATTCATTTTGTGGTGAAAAAAGACCGTCCGGATACGGAACACGGAATTCCGGATAAACGAGACAAAATAACATTAAAAAAATCAGTTCCCATGAAAATTCATCCGGAAACTGAAGCATCCGGATATCTGGCGTCTGGATATCTGAAGGTCCACTGTATTCCCAAACCACTACCTCTGTCTTTGGTAACTTGACTTTGAAGAAAAACTGTGAAACACCATGGGTATGATGAGGATGTACAAACTCATTCCAGGAGATGCAGTGTTATGACCCACTGAGTACTTTTTTTTGACATCTCATTACAGTGTTTAAACTTTATAACTTGACTTTTGCAACAAGATTTTGAATCAAGATCATGACTCACATTACTGTAGGGGTAAAAATATCTGTAACTCTTTTTTGCCATGCTTTTCAAGTTTTCATATAAGATTATTTTAAAGAAATATTTCTTTTAAAGATTGCTAATAGTAGGACTAAGTTGGTCATACATTGAAAAGTTTCAATTATGCTTTTAAAAAAAGTGTTATAATATTGACATTGTTCATTTTTCTTATCTGCTGACCCAAGGACACTGTAACGAGACTAAACAATTCATACACAATATTGTACAATGGAAAACCTTCAAAGGCATCTAAAATATCAATAGTGTGACATACGTCATGTGCATCATTTGTTAAGTACAAGTTTTATTACCTTTGCCATTTTTAAGGAAGTTATGTACCTGTGTATATTTCATTTTGTTTTGCTTGTTAGCAAAGTATTCAACGTATAATGCATGATATTTTGCAGATAAGCTGGTCCTAAGACCAACAAGTGATAAGAAATTTGGATAAATCTTATATGAAACACTGGGATGGGGTGGGTGGAACTCAGACTTGTTTGAAGTTTGTCTCTCTGAGTGTTTCTATTACCTCTGTTGTATTCTTCAAAGTCTTGTATTTCATCAAACAGAGCCATGACAAGTGTAAAGGTGACCTGAGGTATGTTCCTGTTTCACTAAAAAAGAAAAAAAAAATAGCTAAGTTGCAATCATTTTGATATCAAGATGCAGTGTGATGGTGCAGTACCAGGAAGATATATACACAATTTATTGCAGGATGTAGTGGATAAAATACTAAATTTTATTTAATAAACAGCAAACTGTCACAGTTAATAGGTTTGTTTGAAGACAATGATATTCATGCAGAGGATAACCATGTATATTTAGCATGTCTCTATTCAACAGTCCATTAGGAACTCATTTGGAATTCATTATGAAATTTGTCAGTATGGCTAGGTTATAAAATGTTGGAAAAATAAGTCAATTTTGAGTTGGAATGGCAAAAAATTCATTCAACTACTATAAAGGGATATTTACAATAGTTATCAGATGATCAATATTATTTATATTATCAGATTAGAACTTTCCTGTCTGTGGCAGTCTCGAGACATAATTTACAACGTAACTAAAGCACCCTCAATCTTCATCTTATCCGATAAGGTATTTTTTTCATAATTACATTCCTACTTTGACATGTTTTAATATACATTATGTACGTATACATTTCTCTACAAGAGGAGGATCTTATGATTGGAGAGGGCTGGGTTAGACTACAGAGTAAATGAATCATGATCATTCTTCATTTTCTTATTCTGATCTACCTGCGACTAAAAGGAAACTGGATGACATCGAGTAAAACGTCTTTAATGTTGACATCGGCATATTTTCCTTCAGCATTTAATTGATCGACACAAGCTTTTGACAACTCCCACTCGCCTCTGTGCAAATGATGACAAAAATATTTAAAGAGTGTTTGAATCGAATGGGTTCTCTCCTCTCCCAATCTGAATAAACAGGAAGCACCAGCATTTTCAACACTTTCCATATCCAATGGAATGCTTTCGTTCAATTATCATACATATTTGCCATAGAAAAAGTGAAGAAAATTATCAAATGTAGAATGATACCACTGGGAGTCGCCATTTTGTAAGTCACATGAGAAGTCGACCTTTGAACCAAATAGCCAATGAAAATTTGTTTAACATTTGTCATTATCCAATTACAAAGACGATTTCATAATGCGGTAATTTCGAAGCAGGCTTCGGTAACTCATGAAAACAAAAGACAGAGTCACAATTTGGGTAAACGAGTTTATTTTCTAGAGAGTTATATTGCACTAAAATCACACTTCCATTCCTACGCCTTTAAACTCTTGCAAATACTCGAAATATACATTGACAAATTTATGATCATTTTCATGTCTGTGCATGTTCCAATGTTTACATTTTTGTACGCAAGTCAGAACAGTTCATTTGAGTTTGTTCATGTTTCATCTTTGGTTCTGCCGGTTATATCTTCGTGTATTCTGAAAGTGATATTGTTGGAGTAAGAAGTTTCTCCCAGTAAATGATGGGGAGTGGATCTCAAATTGTCCATGAAGCAGGGACATCTATACCCCCGCCTAAATCAGTAATTCAGTCGGTGCAGGCAGAAAAAGACTGTGCTGTTAACAATGAACCTAATGATTTGGGAAATAAACAGTTGGATCCATGCCCTTTGGATCCTCATATTTCTACTTATTCTGCAGGTCTTTCAAAGTCAATTGGAAAGTAAGGAATTTGTGGCATACTAATCAGGGCAATAGATATGTATTGATTAAGTTTGTAAACATGCAATTAATAAATTCAAGGTTATATACTTCAAAACTATTAAGGAGCTAAATGGCATGCATGTATAATTCTGAAGAAAAAAAAGGAGAATATACAAGCTTACTCAAATGTAAAGTGTATTTTAATAAACAATAGATGGACTGTACGGTTTTATAGTTAAAAAAAATTGAGAGATAATGTGAACTCATTATAAGCACATGGCTCAGTGAACATAGGTATTTGGTCAGTAACTAAAAGAACGCTAGTTCCTTAAATGAGCTTGTTGTATGTTGTGTCATTGGACAAGGCACTTTTAATATCTGCTTTGTGTCAGTGCCCCACTTCAGCTTTTGGTGGACGTTAACCTGAGATGGACTGGTTTCTTATCCAGGGGGAGTCAATGACTCTCATCCACTTAGCATAAGAAAAAGTGGGTATAAGTGCAGGCCTCATGAGCCTTAAGGCTTGGAGAAGGCTTTAATTAACACTGATTACAATACCAACAAAATATTTCTTAGAAACTTAATTAGCTTCATTAGCTAATTTCAAGGCTGAAATACACTTGTCATCTTTGACACTTGTATGAACTTCTTATTCTTAAAGAATGGTTGCATGATATAGATCTGTAGGCACTGCAATCCATTAATGTTATGACCAAACATTTATAGGAAAGATTGTTTAAAGAAAAAAAATGAGAACCTTAGAACTGCCACCCTTTGAACTATGAACAAAGTTTTGTCCATTAGGCCTTAATTATAAATTGTTTTTCACTTTAACTAACAACCAAAATAAGTTTGTCAATTAAACTATTTACAAAAATTCAAATTCAAAGGCTTTTCCCAGAATGTCACTTTTTTATGACAATTAAAGTTTGACACTGACATGTGTTGAAAGATAGTGTTAAGGATAAATTTCTTTGGAAAAAAATCTAGCTGTTAAGTTAGTTTGATAATGCAATGCATTAAATTATATTGTCCATTGCAAATTAATGAAAAGAAGTTGGAGACATATATGTATACTAGTCCAGGTACTTTCACTATATTGATCTATCTGTATAATACGTAAAGTGTACATCTCAAGAGTGACTTTCTTTTCATTTAGCTAATCAACACTTAATTGTATTATCACCTAAGGTATATTTCTCGCTTCATTAATTTTGAATAGCTCTTACAAAACTAAAGGCTCTATTTCTCTCTTATTTGTGCTATCTTTTCGGTCACTTTGTCAGTGTTGACAAATAATTTCATAACAGGTGTTAAATAGGGGTGACAATTCAGTTACAATTGGCCTTGGACAGGTAACTCTTGATAACCAAGGCCCCAGGGTATCTGTCACTGGCTTTAGGGTACCTGCTGATTATCTTCTAAACAATAAGATAGCTGATCTTTTATTTCCTTGTAATGTTAATATCATTGTTGTTAACAGGTTGGTAAAAGAATTTTTTTGTTTAATTGTTGAGCCTTTATTCTCTCATATACTAGTTTATTTGGGTTGTTCTTTTCCCGTATTTTATCTAAACCCTGTCCCTCTTGTAGGTGTGAATTAATTTATTTTTAGTCTTGCAAAGAGTCATGCATACATGTGCATGCTCATGTGGGAAAAGGTAGTTGAATTATATAGATATATTGATTGAATTTTACAATCTTGATAAAGTTTTGATTATTTTGCTTGAAGTGATTTGATCTTATCATCTTTTAAAAAAATAGCAAAAGTGTAGGTGAAATATCATTTCCAATTTTATTTTCATGTATTTCAGACCCAGAATGCCCAGTACATTAGATGATTTTGATGTCATCGGAACCATTGGATCAGGGTCATATGGAACATGCAAGAAAATCAGGAGGAAAAGAGATGGAAAGGTAAACCTTTTAATTAATTATTTTATTACCACAGGGATAAGTTAGATGTAGTTGTGTGTAAGTATAGCTCTGTGAACATAAATTTGTTGTTTATCAGTACTGTCATTGGAAGTCTTTGTACTGCTGTGGAATTAATTGAGATAAATTGTGTTGCAATCTTATCTGAGAGCTCAATTCTATAGATTTATCATAGCATATGAAACCATAAATAACCCATCAATGGTATATTTGGTCGAGTGTAAATATGTCTTACATAACTATTTTCTTTGTCAATTTTTTTTAATCTTGATTAATTAAAGATGCCTTTAGAGCTCGGTTATTCATATATGTGTTGAACAACACTGTTGAAATATTTGCTCTGTGACATGACTTTGGCATTGAACTTCGACTTGACAGAAGTAAAAATCTTAAAGCACTTGATCATGTAGAAGCCAAATATATTTAATAAGTAAAAAGATATATGGAGTTAAGAGTTCTGAATAAAACTTGGTTAAATGTATATTTTTTTTAAATTAAGTAAATTCTTGGCTGTCGACTGACAGGTTCATTTGATACCAAAATGTATACATATATATGTATTTGTGTATTTTCTCACTGCATGCACTAATGCTTGCGAAAGTAAATTGCTTATCTGAGTGGTTTGTAAATTTTTAATTACCTTCACTGACAAAAAAAGTTATACCTAACATTTTCAAGGTAAATTGTATTCTGTGATGTGGAATTTAAAAAAAAGGGTTTTAGTTATTTAAGAGGAACAGGAGGTAACCAAAGGAAGGTATTTATGGTCTAAAGTTTACATTTTGTTTCTATAAAGATCCTGGTATGGAAAGAGATGGAGTATGGCACCATGACAGAATCCGAAAAACAGATGTTGGTGTCCGAGGTCAACTTACTCCGTGAACTGAAACACCAACACATAGTGCGCTACTACGACCGAATCATAGACCGCAGTAACACCACCATTTACATCATCATGGAGTACTGTGATGGAGGAGATTTATCAGTCCTTATTTCAAGTTGTAGAAGAGATGGGTAGGTTAACTTGTTCTGACAAATGAAGGGTTAAAAAGAATCAAACAGCTGGAAAAAGAATGAAGGATCAAAAAGAATTTTCACTTTGTATTTTGAATTATATGCATATATACTGGTAAAATTTGGAGTGTAAAAAATATACAGTCAAACCTTGTTATTTCGAACTCGAAAGGACCAAGAAAAAACTTAGAGATGTCTGTGGGTTCGAGATATTAAGGGTAAAATACTTAAAGAAAAAGGGCTTGGGACTTTCCAATCACTTTGACATGTCTATTGTATGCAAGATATCCATGTTGGAGATACCTTGTCTCAATTCCTTTTACATTGTTATAAAGAGAAGCAGGCCTTTATACTCATAGTATTGTAACGTGCTGACGCTACACTCTGAACTGCCTGAGTCTGTCAGGATGGTGCAGTTCAAATTTTGAAGTTTAAATTTATTTCTTTTATTATTTAATTCTTTTTTTTTTCTGACACCAGGTACTATTTAAGTACCAAAGAAACAAAATGAAGAGTCTGCTTCAAGTTCCAAAATTTATTTACTGCAATAGTCCCTTTTAACAAGATAATAAATTAATAGCCTCCTCAAAATAACATGAAATTAATTCCTTTGTTTCTCAATTTCTCCCAAAATAAAACCAGAATTCAAGTAAATTCACAAACAGTACTTTTGTAAAGTCTGATTCAGAGATAACTCCAAATATGTGACTTTAATTAAATTACTTGCAATTAATTAATAAATTGATAAAATTCCCAACTTTTGTAAAGTCTGATTCAGAGATAACTCGGAATATGTGACTTTAATTTAAGTTATTCACACTAATTAACAAATTAGTTGATCAGATTTCCAAATTCAGAAATATGTGATCAAATCTAAATCCCTAAAAATATTTCCTAGCAATTTCAATTAGTTTTTACCCAGTAAAATTCCAAATGAATAAATAAACTTACATCTTAAAAATTATGCTAACCCCACTTGTTTCTCTAAACCCAAAAGTTGCAGACTAACTGAAAATTAACGGATTCGTCATATTTATACCCTGTTAAAATCCGTTTAACCAATTTACTCTAAAAATTCGTCTACTAAGAACAGATTTCGTTTACAGTAAACGGAAAATGTCTCGTGCAACATAGTTCCATTATTAAAACGTTCAAACAAATAAAATTATACAATTTAAATATTACTTTTCATTCAACATCTCATGTATAAAGATAAAAATATTACTTTGTTTACTTACAATGTCACGTCATGAAATTCACAAGAGGCATGAATATTAATAGGGGTGAAATCTAAAAACAGCAAATTGACCCGGAAGTAAAGGTCAACCTTACAAAAAAATAGTAGCTGACAACTTCCTTCAAAAAGTGTACAAATAATGGAATTAAGACAGTGCATATACCTTAACAATACAAGAAATGCATCATATAGCCTGGGAATGAATCAGTAAGTGTGTCAATTAAAATATTTAATGATTTCCATGAAATGAAACGCACGTGTGACATATCAGTTCGAATTTCCTCAACATAACTAATACGTAAGATATAACATTACAATAATCTAGTAATAAATAAAATTACACACATTAAACTTTTAAAATAAGTACCTGAGCATAACATAATATTGTAAAATGCAAGTTTCCCGTAATTTACAACTATAAAACAAGTAAAGTTAACTCAAGTCAATCGACAGCATTTAGGGACCATCTCAAAACATAATGTTCAATATAACAACACAACATAACATTACAGTATTAAGCAGCAACACAAATTAGAGATAGTTATTGTTTATGTTGTAGAACTTACCTGGATGAAGGTTTTGTGTGGAAAATGTTGATACAAATGACATCAGCTCTGAAAGAGTGCCATCGCAGAAAGAACGGTAAAGCTGTGTTACACAGAGACCTAAAACCAGCCAACATATTTCTGGACTCGGACAATAATGTGAAACTTGGTGACTTTGGACTGGCTCGTGTTCTTCATCATGAAACTAGCTTTGCAAAAACCTTTGTAGGAACCCCCTATTACATGTCACCTGTAAGTTTCTAAGGATAAAGGAATTTCCAGCATTATTATTTTGCCTAACTACCTAAAATACTACAGATTTATTACCTGTACCCTGATAATCTAGCAAAACTAATAAATATACATATGATTTTCAGTACAAGTGTACAATTCATCTTCATATTTCTTTTTATGAAAGAGCTTCACTTTTCAAGAGTTATTTAGATTAACATGTACGATGCAAAAATGATACTGCTTATACAAACTTTTTTTAATTGTAGTTAGTGGATAACTTAGAAATTCAGTACAATACATATTTTACCTTACATGTGATTTTCTCTATCACAGGAATTGGTCAACAACATGTCCTATAATGAGAAATCTGACATTTGGTCCATGGGTTGTATGCTGTACGAGATGTGTGCCTTACATCCCCCATTTACAGCCAGTAACCAGCAGGACCTGAACAAGAAGATCTGTGTGGGGGACTACAAGAGGATACCAAGCCGATACTCAGAGGATCTCAACACTATTATCTCCAAACTTCTCTGTGTAGAGGTAAAGTACATGTACTATGAATCACTTTATATTTGTGATAATGTTATTTTCGCGTAATTATGGGAGACTGCCTGCTCATGGAAATTTCATTCTCATGTACATGTATATATTTGTTTTATTAAAGATTATATCCAACAATAACCAAATTTCATGAAATTTTGTTACACTTTTAGATAACAAATACGTAACATTCTCATGAAAAATAGGGTGTACGAAAATTTGGTGATCTACAATATCATCTCATGAAATGATATTACCGCCTGCTATCTTTCCTCTTTTCTTTGGTAGTGTGGTAAGCATTACATTCAGTTGTGATGAAAAATAGGTATACAAGATAAAATTTCTTAGAAGGGCAAAATTTTTAGGGATTTTATTAAATCTCATTTGATCCATGATCTAATCTAAAAATAGACTGGCCATAGCAGTTAGTTTATTAGTTTATACAGTAATTCAACATTCTTAATACACGTACATGTATGGCATAATTTTATTGCTTGGTTTTTGTTTAGGTCAATAAGAGACCCAGCATTGAGGCTGTACTAGCAGATCCGATAGTACTACGAAGGAGTCGTAAACTGGACAGAGTTGATCGACGGAGCTCGGCAGGAAGTGCTGGGGCAGACTCGCTATATACATGGGAGGAAGAGCTGAAGATTAAAGAGAAGAAACTGGAAATGAAAGAAAAAGAATTAAAAAGTGAGATTCTGTTGTGTATTTTACACGAGATAACCAATATTCTTCTGGTTCAATTTAAAAAAAAAACAATTGGAAGCAAATAAGGTTAGTTAACTCTGCATTTGTAACTTTTGTCAACATTATCTGAATTACAATTTTTTTAGGTCAAGAGCGAGAACTCGCCATCAGGGAGAAAATGATTGAAGATAAATTGAAACGGTAAGATTAGCCATCATATTACCTGATTTTTCCCACTAAATTGTTTCCATTTAGAGAAATGCATATTGATTTTATGTAATTTTTTTTTTTGTAGAATTGAGTTACTAAGTAAAGAATTCAGAAGAAAAAGTGACCTGTCTCGTGAAGTGTCCTCATCGGGGGATGGAGGTAAAACTTTATTGTCCCCAATTGTACCGCCGCCTCGAATGGTGGTCAAACCCATGAACTTTCCTTTGCTTTGCATTCCTTCTAAATATGGTACCCAAAGATCACCTTTGACACCAATTAACTTGGACAGTAACAAAAGAAGTTAATGGTGTCATGTGTCCATGCTATATCTCTCTGTGTGTGTATTTGCGTTTTAGAGGAAACAGATAAGGGGAAATAAAGATTTTCAGTTTCACTTATCAGTACTTTATTTCCTGCTTGTAATTTTTTTTTTTTTTTTCAAATTTCAATCATTTTAATGCAAGATTTTAATTCAAATTTAAAAAATTTAATTTTCTGACCATTTTTCATCATTTTTCATATTATTTGAAGTTAATATTCTTTGAAATGATGATGAAATTTCTTTGCTATGTCAGCTTTCATGCTTGTTTAAAATATTTCTGTGCAAAATTACTATTTGCAGTGGTGCTATGTGAAATCAATTTTCTGCACTATATTGGTGATTTCACAGCTCATATTTGCCAGAAGTAAACCTTTCATTTAATATTCAACCATGTTATTTTGCTGTGCTTTTTCGTCTTCACAATAACCCCAATACATGTTCTATGAAAAAAAAAAAATTGCAGTGAAAAAAAAAATTTAATGTTAAAAAATTTGATTTCCATGATTTATTTTTGAAAGAGATAATTACAATTTTGAAAACTGAAATATATACTGCACTTTTTTTTTATATATGTTTGACTGTGCTGTGTAAAATCATGCTTACATGTATTTCTTCATGTCTGTTGATGTATGTCTCATTTCATATTCAAATATATTCAAATGCATATTCATTCCTGTGTTTGGCTTTTCATTTGTGTTTGCTTTATTTCTCTTTTATTTGTGTATCTATAGTCATTTTCATTTGAACCTGATCTGAAAAATGAAGACAAATAGCCATAGTAAATTATTTACTATACTTACAACTAATCATTATGTAACCAAAAACCTAAGGGGAGAAATCAGGAAATTCTAAAGTAAATTATCTTTATTTCCCTTTTATAGTAAATTTGAGTATTATTTTTTGTTAATTCAGTGATATCTAATTCATTGTTTAAAATCAGACAGTAAAAGGGTGTCTATACAGTCAATATTTTTTCAAACCAAAATCTGAGTGCCAATGATTAATCTGGTTAATTCAGTTTATATTATATTTAAAAAAATGTTCTGGGAACTGAGTTTTGACAATATGTCTTTATTTAATAACGAGCTTTATCATCTTTCCAATGGGAAATCATTCTTCAGATCAGAAAGTTACCTGTATGTCTTTCATATAATTATAAACCTTTGCGCCATTTGTTTGTCATTGTAGTTTTTTAGTTTCACTGTTTCGCATCTGATTCTCATGAAATCCTCTCATCCATTATCTTCCTTTGGGTATGTATACAGTAAAATAATGAAACTTTTCTGGTGCAAAATAATATCCTGTTGGTGTGAAGAAGAAAGTGGTTATACAAGGTTGGAGTACTGGTATAATTAAAAAACATTTTGAAGAGCAATATCATGCATTTATCAAGTAATTTAAATCACTTTATAATCACCAGTATGATGGAATCTATTTACCCTTTATTTGCAAATGTCTGGTGTGTCAATATTCACACAGGTTTTGAACTTGGGGATATTGGTACCCATAAATATTGATCCCTCACAAAATATTACGATTCCATCATAAATGGGTAAGGTGAATGTGAGTATTGTACATATATTTTCCCTATTAAGTAATTCATGTGCGTTACGCACGCGTTTGGCTCACCCTGACAAAGTTGTGTATGACCCTTGGTGTCAGCATCCCAGGTTCAAGTATCTTTCCAAGTATTTCTAAGCCCTATATTGATCAGAGTTGCATGGATGATGCATCTAATATATTTCATTGGACCAGTCAGGTTTCAGATCTGTATTTTTAGCTCACCTGAGCTGAAAGCTCAAGTGAGCTTTTCTGATCACATTTTGTCCGTAGTCCGTCTGTCCGTCTGTCCGTCCGTCCGTCTGTAAACTTTTCACATTTTCGACTTCTTCTCCAGAACCACTGGGCCATTTTCAACCAAACTTGCCACAAAGCATCCTTGGAAGAAGGGGGTTCAAGTTTGTTCAAATGAAGGGCCATGCCCTCTTCCAAGGGGAGATAATTAAGAATAAGTGAAAATTTGGTGTCTTTTTTTAAAAATCTTCTTCTCAAGAACCATTGGGCCAGAGAAGTTGAAACTTATGGGAAACCTGCATTACATAGTGTAGATTCAAGTTTGTTCAAATCATGACCCCCGGGGGTCAGGTGGGGCCACAATGGGGGATCAAAGTTTTACATAGGAATATATAGGAAAATTCTTTAAAAATCTTCTTCTCAAGAACAACAAAGCCACAATTAGTCATTTTGATATGGAATCATCCTCAGGTAATGTAGATTTAAATTTGTTCAAATCATGACCCCCGGGGGTAGGGTGGGTCCACAATGGGGGATCAAAGTTTTACATAGGAATATATAGGAAAATTCTTTAAAAATCTTCTTCTCAAGAACAACAAAGCCACAATTAGTCATATTGATATGAAATCATCCTCAGGTAATGTAGATTCAAGTTTGTTCAAATCATGACCCCCGGGGGTAGGGTGGGGCCACAATGGGGGATCAAAATTTTACATAGGAATACATAGGAAAATTCTTTAAAAATCTTCTTCTCAAGAACAGCAAAGCCATGATTTGTCATATTGATATGAAATCATCCTCAGGTAGTGTAGATTTAAGTTTGTTCAAATCATGACCCCCGGGGGTAGGGTGGGGCCACAATGGGGGATCAAAGTTTTACATAGGAATACATAGGAAAATTCTTTAAAAATCTTCTTCTCAAGAACAACAAAGCCACAATTAGTCATTTTGATATGGAATCATCCTCAGGTAATGTAGATTTAAATTTGTTCAAATCATGACCCCCGGGGGTAGGGTGGGTCCACAATGGGGGATCAAAGTTTTACATAGGAATATATAGGAAAATTCTTTAAAAATCTTCTTCTCAAGAACAACAAAGCCACAATTAGTCATATTGATATGAAATCATCCTCAGGTAATGTAGATTCAAGTTTGTTCAAATCATGACCCCCGGGGGTAGGGTGGGGCCACAATGGGGGATCAAAATTTTACATAGGAATACATAGGAAAATTCTTTAAAAATCTTCTTCTCAAGAACAGCAAAGCCATGATTTGTCATATTGATATGAAATCATCCTCAGGTAGTGTAGATTTAAGTTTGTTCAAATCATGACCCCCGGGGGTAGGGTGGGGCCACAATGGGGGATCAAAGTTTTACATAGGAATACATAGGAAAATTCTTTAAAAATCTTCTTCTCAAGAACAACAAAGCCACAATTAGTCATATTGATATGAAATCATCCTCAGGTAATGTAGATTCAAGTTTGTTCAAATCATGACCCCCGGGGGTAGGGTGGGGCCACAATGGGGGATCAAAGTTTTACATAGGAATACATAGGAAAATTCTTTAAAAATCTTCTTCTCAAGAACAGCAAAGCCATGATTTGTCATATTGATATGAAATCATATTCAGGTAGTGTAGATTCAAGTTTGTTCAAATCATGACCCCCGGGGGTAGGGTGGGGCCACAATGGGGGATCAAAGTTTTACATAGGAAAATTCTTTAAAAATCTTCTTCTCAAGAACAGCAAAGCCATGATTTGTCATATTGATATGAAATCATCCTCAGGTAGTGTAGATTTAAGTTTGTTCAAATCATGACCCCCGGGGGTAGGGTGGGGCCACAATGGGGGATCAAAGTTTTACATAGGAAAATTCTTTAAAAATCTTCTCAAGAACAGCAAAGCCATGATTTGTCATATTGATATGAAATCATCCTCAGGTAGTGTAGATTTAAGTTTGTTCAAATCATGACCCCCGGGGGTAAGGTGGGGCCACAATGGGGGATCAAAGTTTTACATAGGAATATATAGGAAAATTCTTTAAAAATCTTCTTCTCAAGAACAACAAAGCCACAATTAGTCATTTTGATATGAAATCATCCTCAGGTAATGTAGATTCAAGTTTGTTCAAATCATGACCCCCGGGGGTAGGGTGGGGCCACAATGGGGGATCAAAGTTTTACATAGGAATACATAGGAAAATTCTTTAAAAATCTTCTTCTCAAGAACAGCAAAGCCATGATTTGTCATATTGATATGAAATCATATTCAGGTAGTGTAGATTCAAGTTTGTTCAAATCATGACCCCCGGGGGTAGGGTGGGGCCACAATGGGGGATCAAAGTTTTACATAGGAAAATTCTTTAAAAATCTTCTTCTCAAGAACAGCAAAGCCATGATTTGTCATATTGATATGAAATCATCCTCAGGTAGTGTAGATTTAAGTTTGTTCAAATCATGACCCCCGGGGGTAGGGTGGGGCCACAATGGGGGATCAAAGTTTTACATAGGAAAATTCTTTAAAAATCTTCTCAAGAACAGCAAAGCCATGATTTGTCATATTGATATGAAATCATCCTCAGGTAGTGTAGATTTAAGTTTGTTCAAATCATGACCCCCGGGGGTAAGGTGGGGCCACAATGGGGGATCAAAGTTTTACATAGGAATATATAGGAAAATTCTTTAAAAATCTTCTTCTCAAGAACAACAAAGCCACAATTAGTCATTTTGATATGAAATCATCCTCAGGTAATGTAGATTCAAGTTTGTTCAAATCATGACCCCGGGGGGTAGGGTGGGGCCACAATGGGGGATCAAAGTTTTACATAGGAATACATAGGAAAATTCTTTAAAAATCTTCTTCTCAAGAACAACAAAGCCACAATTAGTCATTTTGATATCGAATCATCCTCAGGTAATGTAGATTCAAGTTTGTTCAAATCATGACCCCCGGGGGAAGGGTGGGGCCACAATAGGGGATCAAAGTTTTACATAGGAATATATAGGAAAATTCTTTAAAAATCTTTTTCTCAAGAACAACAAAGCCACAATTAGTCATTTTGATATGGAATCATCCTCAGGTAATGTAGATTCAAGTTTGTTCAAATCATGACCCCCGGGGGTAGGGTGGAGCCACAATGGGGGATCAAAGTTTTACATAGGAATATATAGGAAAATTCTTTAAAAATTTTCTTCTCAAGAACAACAAAGCCACAATTAGTCATATTGATATGGAATCATCCTTAGGTAGTGTAGATTCAAATTTGTCGAAATCAAGACCCCCGGGGGTAGGGTGGGTCCACAATGGGGGATCAAAGTTTTACATAGGAATAAATAGGAAAAATCTTTTAAAATCTTTTCAAGAACAGGAAAGCCGTGATTAGTCATTTTGATATTGAAGCATCCCCAAGTATTGTAGATTCAAGTTTGTTCAAGGCATCCTCCAGTAGTAGGGTGGGACCATAATCGGGGATCTGCAAAGTTTAACAAAAGAATATATATAAGAAATATCTTAAAAAATCTTCTTCTCAAGAACAACAAAGCCATAATTAGTCATATTGATATGGAAGCATCCTTAGGTAGTGTATATTCAAGTTTGTTCAAATCTTGAAACCCCCCCCCCCTCCCTTCCTTCCCCCCAGGGTAGGATGGCAGACATCTTTAAAATTCCGTTTCAAGAACAGCAAAACCATGATTAGTTATATGAATATAGAAGCATCCTCAGAAAGTTTAGATTCAATTTCATTCAAAACATGGCAAATGGGGATAGGTTATGCCTAGAACAGTTGATCAAAGCTCTACGTATGAATATATAGAAGAAGAAATCTGCTGACAAAGAACAGCAGGGCCATATTGACTCAGGTGAGCGTTGTGGCCCATGGGCCTCTTGTTAACATATAGTTCCCATAGGAATGACCAGGTTAATGCTGAGGAGCATATTAAGGTTGTTATGAGAAGGTTAAAAGTTGTTGGAGTAGGTCTCATTGCCAAATATAAACTACATGTATAAGGCATACCTGGATCGAACTATCTAGGGATGCACACTATGAGACTTGCTTCATATGCTGGATCTGACCTACATTTTCCAGATGCATGACCAGTTTTAGGAAGACCATTCCCTAGTAACTAAAGGCCTGATAGGGACTGAATTTGCATGAATGATGCATCTAGTGATGCACACTACCAGACTTGCTTCAGATACCGTATCTTACATGTTAATCTCATGGAAAATGTAGATTAAAGTTTTTGGAGCAGGTCTGTTCTCAAGTAATTATTAGCGCGATGGAGCCTAAACTTGCATGAATGATGCGTCTAGGATGCACACTATAAGACTTGCTTTGGATTCTGGATTTGACCTACTTTTTAGGGGTGAGTAAGCAGATAAAGTTTTAGAAGGAGGTCTATCCCCTAGTGACTATTTGCCCTACTTAGATTTTTTATGTGATTGAACAGAAAAAAGTTTTTGGAGCAAATCCATTCACAAGAAACTATAAATCTCATGAAGACCAAATTTGCATCATTGTTGCATCTAGGGATGCACACTACCACCACATTTGTTTAGCGTGAGACTTTGCCTTACTTATAAAGTAGCATTCTTCTAGGTGAACCATGTAATATTTGATTTCCTATGTTTTTAAACATTGATTAGGAAATTAATAAAAATAAAGGTTCTTTCTGAGGAATATCTATCAATATTTTAATGTGTTGTTTGCATGGCAGAGCTGGGATTCTTTTTCTCCGACTGCCTATTAGGAGTCGCACAAATCTTCAGAAGTTAATCATATCATATAATATACCTACCAGGTAATTCCTAATCAAAAACTGTTATGTGAAAAATTTCTTAGACCCATAATTATTAGCCCAACATAATTCATGATTGTTGAACTGAAGAAAATAATGTAGAAGGTCATTCTGATAACAATTTAATGCATTTCACTTGAGCACAACATCCTCAAATATTCAGCATTGATTTTTTTTTCTACATATAACTTTTGATGCTTTTAACAGCAAATGATATCAATTTTAGATCACTTTGGTGTTCTGAATATTAAGTATTACCTGCAGCCTCTGAAGATAATGTTTTATCTATACCTGGAACATTTTTGTATTGGCTCACCATCAATATACATGTACATGTATTCAGTATCCTTGAATTATAGTCAGTTCTCAGTGAATATCTCAAGATGTTAAAATAGTCAAAAATAACATATAAGAATTGAGAGCAATATGACTCAAGTGAGAAATGGCTCATGGACCACTTGTTATAGACTGTATAAAATATTTTCACAAAAAAGCATCTCAAACTCATAAGATTCAATTTTTACCAATCAAAGATGCACACCCCACCAGATATCATTTCCCCCTTGCTCCTCTGTATTTTCCATGTTTCTTTTCAGATGACATGGACTTGTTTGATGGTTTGCATCCATGTTTGTCAAGAGGCAGGCGTGATCCAGATTCTCCCAAGAAAAAAGTCTCGTTTGACATGTATGGCAAGGAAAATCTCCGTCGACACAACAGATACAAAGATTACACCGTCGACCATCTCCTTACCAAAGATTATACCTCAAAGTATTCCTCTGATCTCAAAGACTATGATAATTTGTATGAAGTAGAACTTGCCAAGAGACGAGAACTAAAGGATAGACTTTTTAGGGCCAAATCCAAAGTTGATGATCTACATGATTTGAAAATTGATTCTCACATACGAAATCGAAATTTATTGTATTTTAGGTAATATTCAAATTTTTGCTAGCAATTTTTACAGAAATTTTTCCGTGCACTTTTTCCCTTTATACTTCGTAGTAATTTATTGTTTATGAGGAAGTGATAGGTATGACTATCAAGCAGACTAGTTTTGAGTTTTTGGTAGTAATTTGCTAAAATTTTGATATTTTAAAATTTTTTATTTATTGTACATGTATTCATAATTTGAACCATTAAGTAATTAGCATGAGATCATGGATCTCATCAAATGGATTTCTCCAAAAATGAATTTCAATTTGATACTTTATTTATAGCAATTCCGCCCATTTCTTTGTGGCTCATTTACCATTTTGAAGAATTACATTCCTTCACATTATAATATCCATTGTTTTTTCTTATACAAATACTTTTTTTTTAAAGTTTTTAAAATATTTTAGGGCAGAGCACTTTTAAATATTTAGGGCAGAGCACAGCCACATTACATCAGATTTTTTTAATCACAAAAATTAAACTCCTATCCCTTTTTGTGATTAGAAAAAAAAGACATTAAATCCCTTTTGGTGAAGCAGGTATTGTGCAAATCTCATGCACTTGTTTAATGTGATGACTTTATATGAAAAGTGAAATTCATATGTATTTTTTTTATTCATTTCTGATGTTTAAACAGACATCTACCAGGTACGGTTGACACAACATAATTTACCAGTATTTTTAATTGAATGAAATGTACTCTTAAACAATTTACATTAAAAAAAAAACAGTAGCTATAATTGAGCTCTGTGATATAATTTTATTTTTATACTTTTTAATTTGTTGTTTTGTTATGTATAATAAAATCATAAGAATTTTATTTTCTTGTTATTAATTAAAGGCCAATAAAATCATGGTGAAAACAAAATTTGAAATTAAATGATAGGTAGGAAATACACTTTACCGGTACATGTAAATTTATGGACAATATGGAGTGACATTGAACAGAAAAGTATCGGTACAATTTGACAAAGTCACTTTTCAGACAAATATGACATTGTGTAAATTAAAAAGATTACCGTCTACTGAGATGCCTGTATTTGTTCCTGTTAATTAATACTAATTTTCTTCGCGTTTTCAGTTTCCTCAAATGAATTGAAACATTGCACAATTGTGTATTAACAAAGGAGAAGCTGAGGTTAATTTTGATATTTTGGGCCGATATCGATCCATATTAACCACCTCAAATGTCCATAATTGTTTAATTTTACAGTCTGGGATGTAATTGATAAAAAATAAGTGAGAGCACTGATGCCCTTGTAAGGCAGCTCATGGCCAAGGTAAAAGATTTTCGAAATTAGGTCAAAGTTTAGTTAATTAAGTTTCACTGTAGGGGATTAAATCATGGTCTGGTCCAGTGCATCTTTCTCCTCTCCTGTTACACCACAAATAGAAAATATACAAGTTATCCAAAACATTTTTGACCTGCCTTTCTCTAATCATCCTCCATCTTTGCAGAAAATAATGTAAGTTGAAAGGGACTCAGTTTATAACATTACATAAATGTTGACATGCAGACCCATTGATTTCAATAGGGGCACCTGTACTCCTACAAGTAAGAGCCTCGGTTGAAATCTTTACGCTCGCTACATATGTGCTGCCAAGTCAAAAGCACCTCACTGTGAACCTTTAGCATGCTGGAGTTGGGGCTCCTGCATCTTGACAATGAAGCATAACAACCTGATTTGTTGAAATAATACCATAAGGAAAATTGAGTAAGGTTAGGTTTTAAAAGCATTGTATGATAAATAATCTCTGTAATTTCAATGAAAAAATGTAACTCCAGATTAAAACTGAATTTATTAATAATAACACTTTATTTTACATCCAAACAGCTGTAACTTCACATCACACTTCACCATTCTTTCCCAGACCATGGATCTGGGTGCAATGTACGTCCACCAAAGAGTTTGCTCTTATTCAAATGACTGTCCATTTTGTCAAATACGAATCGCCTCTCTATATATTTACTCACGATGAAGAGGGGTGGTATAGCTAAATAGAAGGCTATCAGGGTTCTTTTTCGTTGAGCTGATGTCTGAAATATGAATTGAAATCTAATAAATATATTACCAATCATCAAAATACAAGACCCTTTCATATGAACCTTGGTATTAGGTCCAACAACTACATATCTATACAATTTGATATTTTGTACATAATGTTACATTTTGTATTTAATTTTATATTAGTTCTAACAACTACATGTTAACACTTGATATTTTGTATAGAACATTATATTTTTAATTTAATTTTATATTAGATCCAACAACTACCCAGTATATGTATCACCTGATATTTTGTATAGTTTTATAGAATGTTATATTTTGAAATTAATTTTTAATTTTAATATTAATGGTACTCAGAATTTTGTAATGAGAAACCTTTATAATGGAAGTGTACATTTCATATTTGATACCAGTCTTCATACCAAAATACATCTGCATACATCATGTAGGTGAGCATTTTATTTTATTATGAAGACTTTCTATGATGCTTGGTTAGATTCATATCGCACCTTCTTGTGAAGGGGATAACTTAAAACTATTGCTTTACGGAATCCTTCAAATAAGATAAGCAGCTTTTTCAAAGATAACTTAAACTATGGCACATAGCAAAACAAGTGGGATATGCATCCGCAGTAATTTGGGCTATATGGACTGAAATCGCTCTGATTAGTGAATAACCAAGTACAGCACTTGACTAGAGATACAGGGGTCCTGGGTTCCATCCAGGTCCAGCCACATATTTTCATTATGTATTTATTAATTGTTTCAATTAAAACTTTATTCCCTCCTCCTTTTCATACTACAGATCCAACCCAGCTTGTTATGTAATTTCCTTATTTAAAAAATAAAAATAACCAACTGAAAATTTCTCAGGATGCTTCCAAAATTATAGACTGCCTGAGTGAATGCCTGGATTTGTTGTATTTGGCCCCGGTTTTACAATTTACACTTTCTTCTGGTTCATTGAAGGAAAATATGAAAAAGTGTTTAACAATCTTGTCAAAAATTATTTGCAAGGTGTCACTGAATATTTTCTGATAAGGACTAATTGTTTAGATTGAAACATCTGATGGTCTTGTGCGCTGAATGTGGTAGGTGCAGCTTTATATTCATACAACAAGCTCTGTAAACAAGTTAATTTAGTCGATGCCATTATTAATTCTTCCAACTAAGTATATTTATAATTTACATGTATATAGGGTATCATACTTAATGTAAACATACTTATTTTAGCGGAATAATCATATTTTAGTGTCTTTTGGCCTGCTTCTTATTTGCTTTGTTACGTACAAGCTAATTATTAAAACTAATACATGTTAGTGTTAAAACTCTAATGCACTTCATGACTGCACTAACCAGTTGAAGCAAAATGCAGCATGCACAATTTAAGGAAAAAATTCAAAATTTATATCCAAAACTGAGCATAGATATCATTCAAATGAATCTTATAATGACATACCAAATGTGTAAAGTTGAAGTTAGGACCAGGCATGATGCTACTTTTTCTTCTGTTCCTGTAATCTCCTATCTCTTTCTGCCACTTTAGCTTTAAAAATCCTTGTACGATTCAAATCGTGAAGGATAAAGCCAGCTGTTAATGTGGGAAAGATAACAGCTAACTTATTCTTCTTTGCAAATTGTAGAGCTTTGTTCAATTTCATCTGAAAGGAAAAAAATTCAATTTCTTTTCAACGCAAGGTCACAATGGTCACACAGTGACAACTATCAAAGTAATAAAAATTTCACAAATCTTTTAAGAATATTGGCAACATAGAGAACACTGACTATCCTTCAGTTGTTTAAAGCACCATGTGCACATGTACAGGGTTACATATAAGACTAATGTTATAAAACACTTGATATACCTAGTCCCCTGAGGACCGGAAGTTGAAGAGCCGCTTACATCAAACAATAATTACAAACTTTTTTTTTAATCTGAAAACAGCATTGTATTCTTTAAAGTATAGTTTAACTTCGAAAATATGATAGGGTATTCTAAAATATATCATCATCAACTTTTTGGATTATGCTTTTGGTTCTTTATGTTTTATGGAAGACCGCTTACACCATTTCAGTTTTGTTGACATCATGGAGGGCATATTTGAAAATTCAAGAGAGAGTCTATGAAGTTTTCTTCCAGTTTTCACTTTTGTAAAGAAGGTAATGCCAGTATATTGTTTTTATGTTTAAAAATTGATTTTTCTCTCATATATTTTTACGGTTAGACTTCATTGTTTTGCAGAAATATTGAAATTAAATGCAATATTGAAAAATCTGTGCGTGTTTAGACTTGTTCTACATCAATGCATAGTGAAACCAGGGATTTATATATGTTATATGCCCCATTTTCAGAATCATTTTTGTGCATATAATTCGAAATTAAAATCACGCTGATACAGATCATTTGACATTTCAGATTATATACTGTATTACTGTATAACACGTGCAGAACTAGCAGAAGAGTTCAGTCATCATGATCATCATTATTGTTTATGAACATGTGAAAGATTTATAATATGTTTTACGGTGTGACCGTTGGGGCGAGCGCAGTTGTATCATCAAATAGCTATAGCAGCTTACACTTGTAACGTTGATCCGCCTCTTCAAACGTCAAACCGCATGAGACACAGTCTAGACTGTGACATATCACATGACGTCGGAATTTACGGAAACAGCTGAGCGTCTGGTTGAACGAGACTAAAGATCTTGTGCAATAATAAATGAAATACATTGTAGAGTAGATGTAATTATTTTTGTTTCTTTTAAGCTCTCTGCAAAGAAAGAAAAGTAAACATATCTCTTGGTAGTGAATAATTATCCTTGGTCTTTTGTATGTTTTGTAAGAATTTCGCATGGAACCCTGGTAGCGAAGGAATTCTGGGAATGTTGCACCAGAAAATTTGCCTGACGTATGTACAGATTTCATTCCGAATTTACTCTGTTCTTACACGTTAGTCTATTGAGCTTGCTTTGCGAGCGGCGCGAAGCTGCGCTCGCTATAATTTGGGTTCCGTCATTATCAATACAGTCAGTTCATGTTTAGAAAAGTTGGGGTTTTTTTGTTTTGTTTTGTTTTGTTTTGTTTTTTTTTTTTGCATGGTATCATTATCAAATTAATTTGTAGACGGTGCGACCTTTGGGGCAAGTGAACGAGCTCAGTTGTATATAAGTTAATATGTTGATGTGCGATTTTGGGCGAGTGCATTGTTCACTTAATTTTAAGATCTGCCTCTTCAAACCGCACAAGACATTTGGAAAGTCTAGACTAAGACACCACATGACATCGTATGTTAGCTGCATTTCCATAAACAAAGTTTGAAAAGTGCAAAATTTTAACGAAGAACTGTAATCTACTATCTGTATGCAATATCCATTAAATTTAAGTTAGTTTATTACTTATTGCAAATCAGATTTAAGTACACATGCAAGCACATTAAATTTTGTGAATTTTTAGTTGTTACCTCGAGAACGAAGTTAGCAGCGAGAACAACAAGCATTGCATTGTGGGTCTTGAAGTAACTGTGAGAAAAATTTCATTTGGATCAATGTGCAAAGTCTGAATTTTCCCTTTGCCCAGGTGTTGTCGTTAGAGCTCATTGCACTCACTATTACTTTCATCTGCCTCTCAAACTGCACAAGAGATTTGGAAGGTCATGATGTCATTTAATAGCTGAATTACTATAATGTAGCCTAAAAAAGGACAATTTTCAACAAAGAATGTTTAAACTAATATCTATCTGCTTAGTAAACCACCAGTAGTGATTGGTATGAATTGTATGGAATAGAATCATGAGTTCCTTGTTTGGTTGAATTTTCTTTTGCCCAGTATACTGTTATCACATATATTAAATATATGCATACTTTTCAAATACACAAATGAATAATTATTTTCATTAAGTGAGCAATAATATCAGTGAAGTCAGAAATTATAAATAAAGTCATGATGTCAAAGCAGTTAGAACATAGTGCAAGTCAGTATTAAAATACCTTATATACTCGCCTATAAGTCGGTTTTTTGGCAGTTAAACTTTGGTCCAAGACTCTGTATCTGACTTATACGCGAGTTATAAAAAGATTGATATTTTAACATGTCACTCCCTCTAATTTAAGCTTAAAAAATACAACCGACTTATAGGCGGACCGACTTATAGGTGAGTATATACGGTAGTTATTTTTGTATCCCCATCTGTGGTATACTTACACTTGATGTTTGATTTGGAATCCTTGCAATTTACCTGAAAGAAAATACAGTCAAACCTCGTTATTTCGAACTCGAAGGGACCGAGAAAAAAACTTCGAGATATCCGAGGATTCGAGATATCGAGGGTAAAATACTTAAAGAATAAGTGGTTGGGACATGCAAATCACTTCGACATATCCATGGTATTCGAAATATCAGTGTTCGAGATAACGAAGTTCAATTGTATTGCCTTAAAAATATTTTTGGAAAGAAGAGCATTGGTCAAAGAACACTATTAGGTTTTGATATTGTATGCTTTGTAAGTGCCTCATTTTAAAATTTAATGCAGGTATGATTCTTCTGCAGATTATAAATAAAGATGGATGACGAGTTTGAGTTCACAGATGATGAGATCAGAGATGAATTATGTAAGTTAGGATACAGGAGTATTCCTAATGAAAGGCTTCTAGAATTTAAAAAAGGTAAGGTTTTTACACATTCTACTTTCTTGCATCATTAGATAAATCCAGTTCTTTTATATGTACAGATAGCTAATAATGATGGTGAGGTCAACATGGATTATTTCTTTTAAATTTCAGATTTACGAGTACTCATACAGCATGAGAGAAGCAGACTTTCAAGGGACACAACTCTATCCTCTCAAATTCAAACAGATGCCTCCGACTCTTTCTTAGGTATGATGAATCAAACTTTAAAATAAATTCATATAGACTCTCTCATATTGCCTTCTTCAGTTTCATGACATGCTAATAGACTATTGAGGGGAGATGGAACAAATGTATGTTTTTGAAACAGATTGAATATTAGTAGGAGCAAGGTCCTCAAATGTGCTTTGGCTCATGGGTCTCTTGTTATACTTTGTATGATTATTTGAATATGTATGGAAATTTTCAAACTAGGTAATAATATTCCCTGAATCACACTGTTTTCATTTACTTTTGTAGGTCCATCACACAGACAACCAGAAAACACCCTGCCAGGTTACTTGGCTGCAGTAAGTGATGCTGTAGATTCCTTCATATATGCGAGGAATTTATTATCATGTTATTTCACCAGAAGTACTACTCACAGAATAAAAAATCTTGCTTTTATATTTAAATTGCATAAATGCCCCCCCCCCCCTTCACCCCCCTCGGGTTACTTGGCTGCAATAAGTGATGTTGTAGATTCCTTGATATATGCAAGAAATTTGTTATCACTTTATTTCACCTGAAACACTACTCACAGAATGAAAAATCTCACTTTTATATTTAAATTGCTTAAATATGTGTGAATAATTTTCAGCAGCAGCCCACATGCAAATTCATGTTCTTGCGATTTGACACCTTGCGATATTAAGTACTTGCGTGAAATAAGGAATCTATAGTATAGTCACACAGGTTTTTTATAAACACTGACTGATGAATTGGCATTTACATTAATCTGTATCCAGTACTGATTAAACTGATTCATAAGGAAGATGATATAGCAAATATTGGATTCTCCCTCACAAAATTTATTGATTTATAACAAGCTTTTACTTTAAAAAAAAGGATATCAAAATAATCAACATTTTTAGAAGATTGCTGTAATTTCTGATATACATGTAGATATAACTGATAAATATATTACTTGTATATGATAGAGATAAAAAATACTCATAGTGTATGTCAGATTAGGGACATTTATTACCAACTTCTGTAAAGGAATTTAAGTGAATTTAACCCTAATGGATTATAACCGTGCTGTGACATGTCTAAGTAAGATGTGATATTTACTTGCCAGGAGAAGGAAAACAGACCTCGGCGGTACGATTATGGGGATCCCATTATAAGGAAGCCCCTCCCTCCTCAACCAAATCAGGTACGGGGAGATTTTGCCTTATACGACAGTCGCCTCGACACAACAAAGGATGACATGTCAGGTTCAGAATCGGGGAGTAGGATGGTGAAAAGGAAAGTGCTCAGGTCAGTAAACATAATAAGCATGGTTGCTCAGAAAATTTCAAGTAGGCTTAGATCAGATGAGTGGGGTCCATTGAGATCTAATACTGTGGTGAAAAGAGAGAAGTTACACACTCATGATATATTTCCAGTTTACAAAAGTAATATAAAATTCCATTTGTCTTGTGTATCAACTAACAAGTAAAATTATTATGTCCTTGATGATTCCCTTAAATACACAAAAAAGAATCTAAAAATATTATTTTTTAAAACCTTATTTTTTTAAAAACTTTATTGCAGAAAAAGAACAGATGGATCAAAAGTAATAGATGAATCATTCACAGAGAGTGAAACAGGTGAGTATAATAACCTGCAGGCATATATTAAAATCTGAAAAAAAATTTACCAAGAGAAAAGTTATCCACATGGCTTTAGAATGAATTTCAACATGAAACATTTTATGAATATAGGAAGTGTTCTGGACATCAATGAGAGACTCCGACTTCTGGGGATTGACACAGACAGACCACAGACAGCCCCTGCTGGAGAAGTATACACAATCTTCATACTGACTGTAGATGTTTTAAATTACATTAATGTAGCTTTAACGTCAAATGGTTAAACTTACACTGTACATAGATGTACATGCTTTGATTATGGGGGAAAAGCAGCACGTTATGTAATTGTTCATCTCAAAGAATTACTGAATTGCAAATAACATATTCTTTTCTTTCATGCCTACAGCCTCCATATCGTCTTTCTCCAGATGACCCAAGACCTGCATCAGGTATGTCTTATCAGGGACCTATATACTAACGGGATAGGCAACTCCTTCAGCGCCATGTTTATTTACCCAAAACGGCACACACAACACTGCAAGTTTTTTGAACTACTTTTTTTTCCAGTAAAAGGCTTGTTTTCTGATTAATGTAATCTGTTCTTTTCGTGTATCGGAATGGATATTTAGTAAATTTTAAAGCACATATCATTAAATAATTTAGATATTAAGTAAACAACCACCAAAATCGGCGATTTCTCGGAAATACGGCCGATCAGGGGCACGCACTGATTTTTAAATAAACGTAATTACTTCTAAGATATTTGATAGCAAAAGAGATATATTTAATTAAAATTGACTTACAAAATCCCGCAACTTACGAGGTATCGCAAGACTTGCGAGAGTTGCCTATCCCGTTAGTATATAGGTCCCTGGTCTTATGTCAAACATCACAGATTATTTTATGTTTCAACAGTGAAGATTTATAAAATAATGGCTTTTCAAAATGCAATTTCTTCATTAAAAATTTTCAGTACATTAAGTATTAGTCTCCCTTTTTTGTACTGGAAAAAAAGGGGGGGGGAGTAATTTGTAAGTTAAACAATTGGTTCTTGTTGCCAATTTGATAATGGTTAGTTTTCAAGTTTGAATATGATAAGGTCTTCCTGTAAACAAATGATGTACTGTTCAAGTCTATGAAATGACATTGCAGTTATTTTGAGGCCATCGGAACATCCCCACACAAGAAACATACGCAAGTCTGACCCTGTGGCTCGGTACCAACAGTTCCGTCAGTCCTGGAGTCAACAGCGAGCACCGGGAGAGAAAAAGCACAACCAGCTGCGGTGGAACATCAGGGAACAAATGCTGGCACAGGATCAGGTTGTAGAAAAGGTGAGATGTCGATGTAAAATTTGATAGCAAACAGTATATGTATAGAGTAATTAAAATATTTGGTTATTTTGGCATGGTAATGCAAGCACAACACACGTCAGGGTTTAGAATTTTATTTATTGACATTACTATAAACATGTATGTTTTTTTTTTTTTTACTTAATTTTAAATTGTGTGCTTTTTATATTATTTTAAATGAATTGTAAGCTCCTCTGTAATAATTAGATTCCTATTAAATTGATATTATTTTCAGAAACCTCAAAAGGTATTTGTTCCAAACAAGTATGTGGTACCAACAGATAAGCAGAGGAAATCTCTCAGGTGGCAGATACGTATGGACTTAGCACAGGGTCAGATGCCAGCCCATGGCTTCTATCATGAATACTGACAATGATCTCAAGTGTTACTGCAAGGATCTGTGACTGTCTCCTTCCTGTTGTCTATAGAGTCTAGCAGAAACATTCCTGGTTTGTCGTACCATCCATGTTAAATGACCATGAGACATTTTGTTTTCAAATTTTATAGATCTTTTTTTTTTTTACAGAACCCTTTTCTTAAAACCTAGTATGTTGTAAAATTTTCTTAAAACCTAGTATGTTGTAAAATAGATGATGTATATTAAAAAAGTGAGGGTTTTTAAAAGTTGAATTTGCATGGTACTTTTTATCATGTACATTCTCATATAAATTTATCAATACATAAATATTGTAAATAAACTCCTTTGAAAACAGCTGATTGCTCAAGCATCTTATTTTCTTTGCTATAGGTGATAAAAGAAAGGAAATACACCTGAAACAAATAAATGTGGACATACTTTACTATTTGACTCTATCTTTTCAAAAACCACTAGGCTAAAAAATAAACAGGTATATGAAATATTACATACACATGTACTGGTTTAGTGAAGATTTAAGTTTGGTAATTGACTTATTACCTTTGGAAATTAATCTGTACAACAAACCATTTGCTCAGTGTTCAAATAATATGGATTGCTTCCCTGAAACTTGAAAGGAAATATACATTCCTACAGGTGTTTAGTTCAGGTTGACCTAGTATGTTATAAGGGCATTTCTGTATGAATGAGCTAATTAAAATGCAAGAAATTAAAACGTTATTACAGAAAAGGTTTAAACTCCATTTCTTATTACAAATCTCTAACATGTTAAATCCAATATTAATGCACATTATGACATAATTTTTTTGACATCAAAGTTCTTTACTCCTCAAAGAAGTCAACAAAGCAACTTCAGCCATATAGCATATCTTACTTAAATTTATTGAAGCATTGTATAATAAGGAGATCCAAATAGTTGCATAATCCTATGCATTATCTGATCTGACCAGAATTTAGAAATATGCATTTTTAACTGGGTTTTCCATAGGAAAATCTGGTTATTGAAATGGTGGGTGGGAGACTGCCAAAAGGGTACATGTTTTGTCCAGACCTCCTACAGTTTTCAAGATAGGAACTTTTTTATTTTGCAGATCAATTATACATGTATCATAAATATGCATAGGACTTGGAGATTGATTATTTATGAGAAAATTACCAACTATTGAACTTGTCATTTTTTATGCAAAATATTGCATAGGGTACATCATTTGTTGGGATAACTCCTCCGCCAGTTTTCAAGATAGAAACATTTTTATTTTTTCAGATCAATTGTATATATATCATCAATGTGCATAGTACTTAAATTTTGATGTTTGAAAATTTATGAGAAAAATACCATAATGTCAATAGCTCATAATATTTGTGGATAACACCAACATGGATGTAGAGGTCAGTTGATTATGTAACCAGTATCTTTTGGCTGTAAAACATAACAACAATATCGTAACAAGTACTCATACAATATCACATTTACAAGTATAGTACAAAAGTATGTAAAAATATATGTTGAAAAAAATCTGTTTAAAGTCAAGAGTTATTCCCCTTTACACAGTCATAATCATGTACAATATTATATATTTCATAGATTTACTTCAATAAAATAAATTGAACTGGATAAGAATATTTTACTTCAAAATATGAAATATAGTACAATGTACTTGGTGCTGTCGATGAAATTTCCTCACTCATTTACTTGTTGATACAAACTATTTAAGATTAACTCTTTTATAAAATATGAGGCACAACAATGAAGGATAAAATTTACAAAGTTACAGGTTGTATACAGAGTGACAACATTTTTCATATTTCAAAACTTTTTAGTTTATTTTCATTAATAAATTTCATATTACAATGAAATCAAATTACATGTACTATGAAAAATATTTATTATTACAAGCATTATTTCCTCTTCATGTCATTTGAACAAATCTGTAAAGGATGACTGCACTTAACGCCTGTTTTTGGGTCCTTTTCGGTTGCTTCTGTTGCTTTTATATCTAAACCTTATCTCACTTTTGTATGTTTATGAAAGAATACTGTCAATTTGGAACCACATTTAAATCTTAAAATGATTTTAGACTGTGATACAATAAAATGATTCAATGTTCTTTGTCCTTACTGCTTTCCAAATATAGTGAATTTACACTTACCTGCCCTTGATTGAACATTAGATATGCATGAGAGGTGGAGCTAATATTGTAAGAATGGCTCTAAAATTAGACTACATAAATAACAATGACATGTTTTGAAAAGCGAACGTGATCACTCTTTCCAATCTCCCTCTCCATTCTGTATAGCACAAATACACTTCTGACAAAGGTTTCAAAACGAAATTAACAATATGAGCACATCAATGTTATTAAAGCAAATTTATATCAATGCCAGATGACTTAACGTGTTCGAACACAATGTCCTAGTTAGCACATCACATGCTTCCTTACAAGTCACGTGACGGAATTTAGTATTCACAAAGTTACCTGAGGTAAGAAATCACGTGGTGAATTATAATATTCAACATGTCACAATCCTTGGTTACAACACAGAGAGCGAATGTAAGAAGAAGCAGTTTTTTCTCTTTTTAACCATGAGCGCATGTTTGTCTATTAATCTCCTTTTGACACATTATTATTTATGCAAATATACAACTACTGTTAAACGTAGAAAAATAGACAAACGTGCGCTGACTATGTATAAAGTCAGTAAATAAGTGGGCGTCCTCATTATCGAACGGAGATTCAAGAAATTGTGATGACCCCTGCCTTTGAAAACAGCTTCGAACTTCGTAAATACACACTTTTATTAAACGTAATTACATAAAGTTGTAGATTGGATGTTGACCATTCTTGCAATGAAAAGAAAAATGCTTGTTTTGAAAGTTTATTTTGTCGCAAATTCCGCATTTCCTTAAGTGCAGTCATCCTTTAATTTTTAACCTGCTTTAAAGTAGGAAATATCCAGTTACTGAAATTGCCAAAAGGGTACATGTTTTGTCCAGATAACTTCTCCTACAGTTTTTAGGATGAGAACATTTTTGTTTTGCAGATCAATTGTACATATATCATGGATGTACATAGTACTTGGATTTTGATTTTTGATCATGAGCAAAATACCAGCTGTTGAGCTTAGTCATTTTTATGCCAAATAATGCATAGGGTACATCATTTGTCAGGATTATTCCTCCTACAAAGTAAGTTTTTATATGGCAGATCAATTGTGCATATATCAGAGAAGTGCATGTTACTTTTTAAGTACATGTCTCTGTAAGAATCAGGCAAAAGGTGAATCACGAGGGTTCTCAGAATTCAATGATTTTCCACACATAGATTTCTCTTGTGCTATGAATCATGTATGCAAAGTGAAAAGTAACAAAATCAACAAAAATGCTGAATCAGCAAAAAACACAAAACATGCCTATCTACCCATGTCTAGTACAGATATATCTCAAAAAATTTTTTCAATGTAATGCATTGTGAAAACACTTCAAATGTTTATCTTTACGATAAGAATGAAATAAGAAGAACTTCTTAAATATTCTCAATCAATTTTAAGCCCTAAAGATTAGTGATTTTTTTGTCCATTCACATGGAAAATTGACTGGTTGCTAGGGAAATTTCTTTTTGTCATGTTTCCATAGTAACCATGACCCAAAACTTTTTTCACTTTGCATACATGGTTCATAGCACAAGAGAAATCTATTTGTGGAAAATCATCAAATTCTGAGAACCCTCATGATTCACTTTCAAACATACTTTGCCTGATTCTTACAGAGACTTGCACTTAAATTTTGATTCTTCATCATTTATGGGGAAAATACCAGTTCTCGATTTTATTCATTTTTATGCAAAATATGTTCATAGGGTACATTGATATTGTTAGGATGTCACCTCCTACAGTTTCCAGAACAGAAAGTTTTCATAATTTACCGGGATATGTGAGAAATACCATAACTGTTTACACAAAAGAAAGCCTGGTTTGCTGTCATATTGACAGCTTTCCCCTTGTTACTATGTTTCAACTCAGAACTTTACAAAAAGTAACATACCCCGGTAACAATTGAACCACTTGTGAACCCTTCTATAGCTTATCTTTAATCAAACGAAACAATGAAAGCAGTCAATAATAAACACATTTTATTTGCAATCTTCACTTTAGTACTGGTCATATCTTTTATCCATAGTAAACTTGGTATCTCGTCTGTTTCTGTGTGAATGAAAAAGTAATTTCTGCTCAATCTTTTCCACAGCAGCAAGTGTCAGTACTAAGGTTTCATGTTTCAACATATCACGCACATTTAATCCTGAAAAAGAGGAAAGACAGGTCTTATTATATTGACCAAATTTGCACTCGTGAACATCTAAAACAAGAGGCCCATGGGCCACAACGCTCACCTGAGTAACTTTGGCCTTGCTGTTTTTCACCCGATTTCCCCCTTGTAATACCTATTGTGGCCCCGCCCTACCCCAGGGGTCATGATTTGAACAATTTAGAATCTACACTACCCCAGGATGCTTCCACATAAGTTTCAGCTTTTCTGGCCCAGTGGTTCTTGAGAACAAGATTTTTAAAGATATTTTCTACATATTTCAATGTAAAACTTGGATTCCCTATTGTGGCCCCGCCCTACCCCTGGGGGTCATGGTTTTT